TATTTAAAGATAAACTTATACGATTTTTTATATTTTTTTTGTTAAATGAAATTTTAAAATTTATTTTTTTTAATTTTTTTAATATTTTTTCAAAAATAATTCGCCAAAAAAAAGGCATAAAAATTCATAAATAAAGATCATTATATCAATATTATTAATATTATCAATATTATCAATAACGATAGTTTTAACCCAAAAAGTCTCATTATAAGGTATTTTATTATTTATTATTTGTTTGTTAAAAAATTTAAATTTTTTTTTATGGCTGTTGTATAAAACCGTTATATAATATTTTTGTTATAATGTACTATTGTTGTAAAAAGTGATTAAATATAAATATAAAGTAAACTAAACACAAAAGTAAATATTAGATAGATAAAGTAATATTAATTATGTTTTATTAAGTAATGAAAATAAACCTCTAAAGAAATTGATTATGAATTTAGGTTATCTATACTGTTTATAAAATAGTCGGTTTAAATGATTATTATATGATTCTTGGAATAAATAAATATCTATTATAATAAAAGATATCTTGAGTAAATATATCTATAATAAAGGATTCTTTGAATAAATAGTTATCTTGATAAATATCTGACTATGGTGCACGTGGAATGATGGCGCAATGATGGCGATTGAGATCAATATTAATAGAAATCCTCGGGTGGGGTAGCTAAATAATATGTAATATAACTGAGCTGTCGCTAAATGTAATATAACTGTTGTTATATTTAAGAACTCTAATATAATGAATTAATTACAAAACAAAATGTATTATAAACTAAATGTAATTAATTATAATAATAATAAAACACAAAATAAAGATAAAATAAAATATAATAAAACCAAAATAAATATATAAAAATATTTAAAAAATTATATTTTAAAAAATAACAAATCTTTATTAAAACTAAAAATTACTAATTATTATTATTTATAAATTCTATAACTAAACTATTACTTATTACTTTCTCTATATTATTTTCTCTCTGACTAAAAATTATTTTTGAATTTTAATTTATACTGAAAAATATTATTTTAATTTTAAAAAATATTTAATTTTAAAAATGTGTTTACAATTGATGATAAATATAAATAATAGATGTGTGATTATTTAAATTAAAAATGTGTCTAAATTTTATGATAATTATAAAATAATATATGTTTGTCTTTTTCTAATAAATGTGAAATATGTTTATGATTATTATAATAAATTTGAATTGAATTTAGAATTATTGCTATATTTCAAATATTTGTGATGGAACCCCTATCTGAAAGATGGTTACAGTTAGAGCTCCACCCGGAGTTACAGGAATATTACTAAGTTTATTAAAGAAATATAGTTATAATAGAAATATAGTTTAGAAACCTTTATTTAAGTATTTTAGTTATTATATTATTTATTGTTATTGTTATTAGAAGTTAATATTTAATATATGAGTCATTAATAAAGAATTATTACTGAAGTATTTATACTATCATAAACAAGTTGACATGAATGTATATATATGTTAAACATGTAACAGTTTCAACTAAATATATTATAAATGGAAAATTATTACTATTTTAAGAGATATTATTATAAAACTTATTATTACTATTTTAAGAGATATTATTATAAAACTTATTACTATTTTAAGAATTATTATTTGAAAACCTTCATTATGTTTATGAGGTATCATTACATATTTTTATTCACATCCTCATTGGTGTAGTCGGTAACACTCTAGTCTTTCACACTGGTACCTCGGGTTCGATTCCCGAATGGGGAGCTTTTAATATAATTATATCTTCCCAGAGATTTTAAGTTAAAAATTTTTTCACTTTTAAAAAAAAAAAAAAAAAGAGTTAAGAGATACGTTGCCTGTTTGGTATCTATTTTTTTCCATTCAATTACACTAACCTTTGAACAAGATCATATAAAAAATAACTTTTTATAATATCGGTTTTATAAACTCATCTTTGTAAAAGAGTGGGTGATCTTCTATCTGGAAAACATATAAACAACCAAAACAAACAAACAAATAATAAATAATAAAATACCTTATAATGAGACTTTTTGGGTTAAAACTATCGTTATTGATAATATTGATAATATTAATAATATTGATGTAATGATCTTTATTTATGAATTTTTATGCCTTTTTTTTGGCGAATTATTTTTGAAAAAATATTAAAAAAATTAAAAAAAATTAAAATAAAAATTTCGGTTAAAAGAAATTTTTATGAAACACGTTGCAAGAAGCCATCGTATTACTTTTTATGGGAAAAGCTTTATAGGCTATAAAAACCCAATTATATATATATATTATATATTAATTATTATATAATTAATATGTGAGTGTCTAACACCTTCCCCTCCTTTCTTTAAGGCGATTAATGTTTAGGAAGTGGCTTTATTACTCTACCAGATCTTGTGGTTGATTTAGTAATTTTTATGTTGACATCAGAGTTATCATCAGTATCTATATCTTTATTTTTACTTTTAGATGATTTTTTATTTTTTATTGTTTTTAAAGATGCTTTTGATTTTTTTGGAGTATTGGAAGGTTTCGAAGAAGAATTTGAGCTCATAGCTTCTTTGTTTACTTCATCTCTTCCCTTTTTAGAGTTCAAATTATTATTTGGATCTTTCCAATACTCTCTTAATACATCTTCACAATTGGTAAGGTCTATCTCTTTATTCCATGTTGGTGAAGGATAGCCTTTCCATTTTACCAAGTAAAGTTTATTTCTTTTATCATGGTTTAATATTTTTTCAACCTCGTATTCCTCTTCACCGTCTTCCATTTCTTCTGGATCAGGCATAGAAATTTCATCTCTCAACCAGTCTTCGTCTTCATATAATTTGACTAATTGATCCATATTGAAAACATTGTTTCTTTTTGGATAACCGGTATCAAGAGTAACATTGTTACCATTAATTTCTATGATTTTGAATGGACCACAATTTTTAGATTCTAATTTGTGTGAGATTAAATCGGTAGAATCACTTGTTTTGAAATATTTTCTTTTTACAAGTACTTTTTCTCCTACGACAAATATTAAACCTCCACGTTTTTTATTATAATACTTTTGCGACGCAACTTGAGCATCTAGAATGTTATCACGTACAATTTTCTTTATATTACTCATTGGGATACGATTCTTTGTCAAAGTATTAAAATGATTGACAGGTGTTGGTGGATTAAATCCATAAACTACTTGGAATGGAGACATCTTTGTAGATTTATTCGATGCTGAGTTGAGCGCAAATTCAACTAAAGGAATCAGTCCAGCCCAACTTTCGCCATATTGCTCTGCAATTTTACGAAGCATACGAATTATTTCTCTATTCATTCTTTCAGTTTGACCGTCACCTTGTGCTCTATAAGCAACTGTCATTTTTAATTTAGAATCCATTGTTTTTGCCCACAATGTCCATATTTCCGAAAGGAATCTTGGGTCTCTATCAGACACAATAGTTCTAGGATAACCGTGTAATCTAAATACATGATTCAATAAAAGGTCAGCTGTTTGTTCTGCAGTGATTGTTTTTGAACAAGGTACTATGTGTACCATTTTAGATAATCTACAAACTATAACACATACTTGATCAACTTCAACAATAAATCCAGAAAAGGTATATGGTGTTTTTGGTAAAGATAAGAAATCTATAGAAATATCTCTCCAAACTTCGAATGGGATTTCCAAACTTTGAAGTAAACCGTTATCTTTTCTGTTAATATTTAACTGGCATATTGCACAAGATTTAATGTATCTTTTAATTATAGTAAACATTTGTTTAAAATAATAATCATTTCTGATGTTATTATAAGTGATATCTACTGCATGATGGCCGCTATATTTAGAATCATGATATTCATTCAAGATAGTATCAATGGTGTCTTTTTCTGTGATGATTAACTTTTTGTTTCCATCTTCAACAAGATAACATATTCCATTGATTTCTTGGATACACATGTTTGGGTTGTTTTTCATTTCTTTGAGCCATTCTGAAGAATCTTGTTCTTCTTTAATTTTATTTAAGAATGGTTCATCCCATTGGAAATTATCGTATTTCCTTGAGAGAAAGTCGGCAATACCATTTTGTTTACCGCTTATATGTTTTAATTCATATTCAAACTCTTTAATGTATTTCATGTAGCCATCCTGTCTTTTTGTGAATGGTTTATCATTAGACTTGTTAATGATATATGTTAAGTTCTGATGATCTGAGTATATGGTTACTTTTTTACCAAGTAATAGGTATTGGAATTTCTTTAATGAATCTATGATTGCTAAGAATTCTCTATCTCCTATACTGTATCTCTTTTGTGTATCAGAAAACTTTCTACTATGAAACCAAATTGGTTTGAAAGAATTACCTTGTATTTGATATAAAACTCCTGAAAGTGCTCTATCGCTTGCATCACAATATAAGTGGTAGCTTCCATTATTCAAATTGTTCATATCTGATACAATTAGTAATGTTGAGGATTCTTTGAGTTTTTCAATATCTACAGGTTTGTTATCTTGCTCAATAGGTAGTGCTATGATGTTATCACCATTGAATTCGTTTTTTAAATTTATGAATTCTTTAATTGCATCTTCAGATAATTTTGTATTACCTTTACCTTTGGCTTCTGCTGATAAATGTATCGTCTTTTCAGCATATTTTTCAATAACTCTTCTAAAGAAACCAAATAAACCCAACGCGGCTTCAGCTTCTTTAGAATTTCTTGGATTTGGTAACTCAGAGATTGTTCTGACTTTTGCAGCTCTTGGAGATATACCATCTTTACCTATTTGGAATCCTAAGAAATCTATTTGAGTTTTGAATATTTCACTCTTTTCTTTAGAGATGTAAATTAAATATTTTCTGCAATATAATAGTACTCTTATTACTTCAATTATATGCTTTTTATAATTAGGTTTTGTATGAACCATTAAATCATCAAAGTATTGTAGTAGACTTTTGATTTTACCAAAAATCTCAATCATCATTCTTGCAAATGTAGACGGAGAGTTTACGAGTCCTTGAGGCATCCTTTTATAATGAAACTTACCAATGTGAGTAGTGAATGCAGTGTAATGTTTGTGTTCTGGGTTCATTGCTATTTGATAGAATCCCATCAACATATCAAACTTTGAAAAGATTTTTGAATCCTTACACTGTCCTAACAGACTATCAGCAGGTGCAAATGGATGATCATCTCTAACTGTAACTTTATTCAATTGACGATAGTCGTGCACAACCCGCCATGAATCTCTCTTTTTAAGAAGCATAATTGGTGAAGAATAGTTTGATTTGGATTTTTCGATTATACCGAGTTCCATAAATTTAACTACCATTTCTTCAACAGCTTTCTTTTGATCATCAGAGGAATAGTAAATCAACTTTTTTGTTGGTTCTATATTATGACCTGGTTTAATTTCAATACTATGTATTGTATTACTTCTACGTGAAGCATTTAACATCTCAGTCATCTCTGGTAATTTTTCTACAACTACGTCGTCGAATGTTTCAAATATGTAATCACGAATAACTTGAATTTCATCTTCAGTTGGTTCTTGTTTTGAAATGATGTCACAGATTGTTGATGGTAAATTTTCAACAATTTCAGTGATTTGTTCGATTATATCGTCGTCATCATTAAACTTTGGATTCTCAACCTTTTTACAATTTGCAACATTTATAAAACAGTTGAATTGTGATGATTTTTCATAATTTATTCTATGATTCCTACAATCAATTTTAATTATTTTTTTCTCTTGATCAATTATTGAATTTTCAAAGAGAATATCATTTCCTATTAATATATCGATTATATCGAGATCTGTGATAATGAAATTATAATTTCTATCATCAATTCTTATATTTATAGTTTGTGATATTGTTTCTTCTACATTTAGTAAAGGAAATTTAATTTTAGTTTTTAAATTTTGTATATTATCTTTCATGTTGCTAGATAAATGTTTTCTATTTATTAAACTAACACTGCTTCCAGTATCTATGATTACTTTAGAAGGTGATTTACAAAATTTAGGATTAATAATTAACCTTGGTTTATTCATATTATCTTTATCTTCAATCATCACTCCATTTAAAGTTGGTAGTAATATATACTTTGAAGAATTGATATTTGTATTTTTAATCATTTTGATTACAGGTTTTGATGTATTTAACAAAACCTCAAATATTTGTTCATCCTCATCATTTTCAGTTTTTATATCATTAAAATCAAATTTATTATCATTTAATTGATTGAAAATATTTTTCAAAGGATTAATATCCAAGTTATTTGTTCTTGGTAATATTATTTTAATTGGATTAATAAATGAAATATTTTCATTTAAATCTATAGAAGGATTTACTTTATTTCCAATCTCATCAATTTTTAAATTATATTTATTTTTTAAATATTTTTTAATTTTATTAATGTTTTTATTAACTTCAGAATTATCTTTATCTCTTAAGTTAAATCTTTCACTTTGTGAAACATAAAAATCATTTAAAGTATTCAAAGATATATTATCATTAGAATAATCGTAATCTTCAATATATGAAGTATAAGGATAATGTGAAAAATTAATTTTATTTTTATTTAAATTATTTAATAAGATTTTATCAGCGGATAAATCTGGGTTTGATAGTCAGCTTTTAAACTTCTTTGAATTCTCTAGCTTCAACTAAGGCAAACTTTGTTTTTATTTCTAAAGATTAAAATTCCATTTAATAAGTCGTTAAGCACTTTAGTACCACTGTTCTTATTGGAATAACCTTCACGAATTTTATCAGCTTCAACTTTGTTATCAGCCTTCTTATCATCTTTATAGCTCAATGATGGTTTACTACCTATGTTATTTGAACCATGACCATATTGATCAGATGATTTTCTTTTTAAAAAGATTTTCATTATTTTAGAACATTTCATAAAATAGTATTTAACAATTAGTTATATTAATTTTTTATAATGTTTATAACATTTATATGTAAACAATGAATGTATGTATGCATGTATATGTGTACATTTTATGTATATGTTTATTCATGTATGTATGTGTATACAATGTATTTATATTTGTATGCACTTTATATATATATATATATGTATCTATGTATACAATTTATATATGTGTATATACTATGTAAGTATATATGTATATATTTATATATATGTTATATAATGTATGTATATATGTAAGTATACAATTTATAAATATGTGTATATATACAATGTATGTATATGTATACAATTTATAAATATGTGTATATATACAATGTATGTATACAATTTATATATGTGTATGTATGTGTACAATTTATGTATATTTATATACATGTATGTATGTGTACAATTTATGTATATTTATATACATGTATGTAAGTATATAGTTTATAAATATGCGTATATACATTGTATGTAAATGTAAACGATTTATAACTATGTGTATATAGTTTATAAATATGTATATATACATTATATGTATAGTTATACAATTTATAACTAAGAATACAGTTTATAAATATGTATCTATACATTATATGTATAATTATACAATTTATAACTTAGTGTATATTTATATATAGTATGTGTATATCTTGTATACAGTTTGTAAATATGTATCTATACATTATATGTATAATTATACAATTTATAATTAAGTGAACAGTTTATAAATATGTATCTATACATTATATGTATAATTATACAATTTATAACTATGTGTATATATTTATATATAATATGTGTATATCTTGTATACAGTTTATAAATATGTATCTATACATTATATGTATAATTATACAATTTATTACTAAGTGTACAGTTTGTAAATATGTATCTATACATTATATGTATAATTATACAATTTAAAACTTAGTGTACTGTTTATAAATATGTATCTATACATTATGTATAATTATACAATTTATAACTTAGTGTATATACATTATATGTATATGTATATTATATATTTATATATAATATGTGAATGTCCATTGTCCGTATATAAATATGTATATTTACATTATATGTATATGTATACAATATATAAATATGTTGTTGTGATTATAACAAAAGTGTTTTTTTTTTTACAATTATATTTATCATATGATTTATTATTTTATATATATCTAATCTTTTTTTATAATAATCTGAATATCCGATTTTTTCTATAATAACCTGTATATCCAATCTTTTTATATATTTTTCTTGCATTCGAATTTTTTAATTATTTATTTTGATATTATTACAAATTATATAAATGTGTGTATGGTTGAAATAAAAAAAAAAAAAAGTGTAAAAGAGTGGGTGATCTTCTATCTGGAAAACATATAAACAACCAAAACTAACAAACAAATAATAAATAATAAAATACCTTATAATGAGACTTTTTGGGTTAAAACTATCGTTATTGATAATATTGATAATATTAATAATATTGATGTAATGATCTTTATTTATGAATTTTTATGCCTTTTTTTTGGCGAATTATTTTTGAAAAAATATTAAAAAAATTAAAAAAAATTAAAATAAAAATTTCGGTTAAAAGAAATTTTTATGAAACACGTTGCAAGAAGCCATCGTATTACTTTTTATGGGAAAAGCTTTATAGGCTATAAAAACCCAATTATATATATATATTATATATTAATTATTATATAATTAATATGTGAGTGTCTAACAATCTTACTACCGTTCGATAGATCTTTCAAAGATAAACACATCTACATTAACTATTCAATCCAATCTCTTAATCTCACAGAGCTGGATACAGTTAAAATCTCAATCTTTAATCAAAAACCCGATTCAATCCTTTATCAATCTTATATAAACAACTGGATTAACCTCTAATCCAATCAAAAACAATAACAATCCACTACAAAATGCTATACTCCGAAATAGCTGCTTTCAGTAATCAAAACCCTGGAAATCCACATCTCAACGATGATACCACCAAATTCATGAATGATTATGCATCTACAATAAAAAATAACAGTTTTGAAGAACTCATCAACAACAACATTAATCAACTTGATATTTTTTCGATGATCATAAACACAAACAAATTATCAGCCTTCGAGAAAAACAACAATCATTACTCTCTTACCTTAGAATTTCCAAACAAATCAGTTGAAGATATTCTAGATATTAGAAAAAAACTCGTTGAATATGGTATTACATTGGACAAATCATACCCAGACAAAAAAAAACATTACAGAGTCCACACACTTGTCAACACCAAAGAAAATGTGATTAAACTTATCAAAGACCGTATTAAACTTGGGTTCTACACATCCAGTAAAGACTACCATGTTATTACTGGTTCTATGAAATGCCCCGAGGAATATAAAGAGGCTGCAGATGGGCTCTTAAAAACTTCTTTCGATAATAAACTCAACTACGAATTATTTACCTCCCATGTTCATAATGGCTACTATAACGCTTTTGGATTAGTCGAGTTCAAGAAAGATACCGATTTGAAAACAAAAAGAATCAAGGGTATTAACACAAAATTCACAATTAAACGTGCGTCCAACGGTTATAGAATGGATAAAATCAACAAAATCGCACCGTTAAAAGATAAAATTAATATCAAAACTAAAGATAATGTCAAAATATCTTCAGAACATAACCAGACCATCTCATTTGACAATCTTCAAGTTGATCAACCAATAATTCAATCACCAATACAAAACAACAATAATAGAAAAAGAAAAGCTATGTCTCAAAACATCAGTTTAGAAGATCTATCACCAATAAATAATGCACCAAAAAACAATAACAACAACATCAACAACAAAAAACATACTATCCCAAGAAGCAGAGTTACCAACCTTACTAATTCATTATTAAACAGAATCAGTTTTGGATACTTAAGTTTAAACTCTAACATTGAAATAATAGATGACAACAACACTCACATTGATAAAGACTCATTATATGATAATAACCAATATCAATCAATTTACATAGATCCAAACTCTCCTAAAAAGGGGGTTAACAATCATATATACAACCTATAAATATGATAATAAAAATAAATCAATGGAACGTCAGAGGATGGGGAACTGATGCTACATTCAATAACAAAAATAACTACATAAATATTCACTCACCCCAAATATCCAACTCAATAACAATAGTAAACGAACTTAACTCAAACCAACAACATGTTTTAAAATCTTACCCAGGATCTTTAATAAGTGTTACTAATAGAGGAAACGGAATCGGCATACTAAACCATAACAACAAAACAATACAACTCAAAGAAATTTTCACAATTCCCGGTCGAGCCATCATTGCAGATATTATCACCACCTTTTCAAGCACCAGAATTCTAGCAATATATGCCCCCGCAAAACCAGAAGAACGTAAATTATTTGCAGTTTACATCAACGACCACTATAACAAATACTACAACAATGATAATCCAGAAAATAAAATAGATATTATAGCAGGCGACTTCAACTGTCTTGACATAAACGACCTTACACTTCCACAAACAAATACACAAATCTTATCATATGATCTTATAGTGGATAGAAAATTTATATCAACACCAGATGATTTAGCAACAGTAATAGAATCCATTAAAATAAATAACAGACTAACTGATACAGACCCAAAGAAATTACCAACTTTCAAAAGGAAAATAAAAACAGATTTAGGTGACAGACTGATTCAAAGAAGACTAGATAGAATATACATCAATCAAAACCTCTTAAACTATAATAACTTATACTTCAAAAATATCTCACCACCTGCGGAATACTCAGATCACAACTTCATATCTACTGAATTTATACCTCACAGCAAAATCACAAATACAACCAAAAGATGGAGAATAAAAAAATCAACAATTTTAGCAAACCCAATGTTAACTAAAATAGACAATTTTTTATCAAACATCAATTCCAATATAACAGATATTAAATTCAAAACACTTAGAAGAATCATCAGCCATATCAACGATCTATATTATGAGTTTCAAAAAAATTCAATGTACCTAGAGAAAATTCAAATAAACAGTTTAAAATCACTGCTTAATACAGAATATAATTCGTATGCAACATCAACTCTGATTTCCATTAATAAAGCAAAACAATTAAATTACAGATTAAATAGCGACCTAAATAAATATTGCGAAGAAACTTCACTCAAATATATATCAGCTAAGATAAAACAAAGATCAAATGATTACAACATTTCAGCAATCAAGGACCAAAACGGTAATATTTTTACAAGTCAAAACGATATCGAAAAAGAATTTTTATCCACTTATGAAAATCTATACTCCAGACGAATCGACGACCCAATTACCCACCAAAACATGCTCAAAAATTGGAAAATATCTAAAGATTCTAAATGGGACATTTTAGATTCTGACTTTACAAAAGAAGAAATAATTTTAGCAATAAACCAACTAAATCCAAACAAATCACCTGGTCCAGATGGAATAACCAATCAATTTTATATCACACATAAAGAAAAACTAGCACCAATGTTAGCTTCTGCTTTCAATGACACCCTAAACAACCCACACATAATTGATCTACAATATAAAGAAGGTTTAATCATAACAATCCCAAAAAAAGGTGACCCTATGCTCATCAAAAATAGAAGGCCTATAACTCTTGCTAATTGTCTATACAAGATACAATCTAAGGTAATCAACAATAGATTACAGACTATTCTTCCTGATATAATTAACCCCAATCAGAAAGGCTTTACTGGAGGCAGAAAAATTACAGATAATACAATGACTGTAAACGAAATTATCAAATATTGTATCAAGAACAAACTACCAGGAATCATTACTTTTTATGATTTTGAGAAAGCTTTTGACTCTATATCTCATGATGCCATTTACAGAACACTATTACACATTCAAGTACCAACCAAACTAACTAATCTTATTATGCAACTACTCACCAATTCCTTTGCAAAAATAGAAATAAATGGTAAAAATACTGATAAATTTATAATAGGACGAGGAGTAAAACAAGGAGATCCTTTATCACCGACCCTTTATGTAATGGTAATAGAAGCTTTAGCTAGATCAATACTAGAAGATAAATCAATAATTGGACTTCCTTTAGACAACACAAACAGAAGAATCAAATTTCAAGGTTTTGCAGATGATTCATCATCAATGGTTCATAACAACGACCAACTTAATTTGGTACTTCAACACTTCAATCAATTTTGCACAGCAACATCATCAAAACTAAATATAGATAAATCAGTTTCAATAACAATCAACAACCCAGACACAACAAATTCAGTTATTCCAATATCAAATAAACCAGAAAGATATTTAGGTTACTACTTCACAGGTACCGGAATCCATAGAAAACTACCAGAAATACTGAATTCTATAAGATCCTCGTTATCATTATGGAAAACAACAAGTAACTCAATTAAAACAAAAGTAAACATCCTCAAATCCTTTGCACTATCAAGAATAACATATTACTCGTATATTGAAGAATTCAACGATGATGAAATTAAAGAAATCAATAAAATTGCAGATTGGTTCCTATCAGCACCTAACAATAAAAGTCCAAATGGTTTTAAAGTCTTCAAATTAATGAGCTCTAAAAGAGCAAATTATCCTATGGATCAAGGAGGTTGGAATCTTTGGAATATCAAAAACAGACAAAAAGCACAAAGATTATGGATGATAAATCAAATAATCAATAAAATTGAAACTAACAAAATAGAATCAGAATATCAACACAGTTGGAAACATCAAATATCAACCAAAACAATAACTTCAGATTACCTATTTAAAAACTACAATGATTGGATACAAATAAAAGTTAAAAAAGGACTACTAGACGGGTTGAAATCCATTAAAAATAAAGACGGCAAACCTCTTTCTTTAGCAGAATGGTATTCGGAAATAAACAATCTCAACAGCTTTACACCCAAAACAGAATTCCAACAATGTCTTCAACTTACAGGTTATAGCTATATCAACCTATTCAATAATATACTTAATATTAAAGATCCAAAATCAAGAAACACTCTATTCAAATTCCAAGCAAGATGCTTACCCATCAACTTCATTCACAACAAACCATGTAGACTATGTAATGAAAATCTTAATAATGATCCATATGGTCATCTATTTTTCAAATGTAAAAAAACTCTGAAATTCATCAACTTTAATAAACTAAAATCATTTATATTCATTACTTCGGGAAGGGGCCTCAATTGGTCACTAGACATAACAAGATCAAGAAGGAATATATCAATAAAAAATATTACATACAAAATCCCAGAAGGTCGCAAATCCGATGGAGAAATAAATATGGATTACAACAACACCAGATTCCACAAATCACACTTCCAATGGAACTATAAAGCAATAGATTTCGACTTAACTAGATGTTTCGCTTATAGAAATGCCATAGCCCTGGTATTTCATCAAGTTTGGATTTGGTTATGTAAAGAATTATATGACGATCAAGAAAATACAATAAAAGAACTCGATTATAAGAATCTAACCTCAAAATGGACTAAACTAGCTACTTTAGAATACTTAAAAGGTTTAAAAAACATCAAGGAAAGACACGCTAAACAACCACAAACAATTAGCAACATCAATGAAGAATATAGAAAATTCAAAAGAAGAATAGCAAGAGCATACTTCATCAGCATCAAATCTTTACCAAATATCAACAGTTTAGAATATTTTCTTTAAAAACATTACAAAAAAACATTAAATAAAATTTTACTGATTAATTTAAAGCATTTGCTTTTAATTATCTTCACTTTTAAAAAAAAAAAAAAAAAAAAAAAAAAAAAAAAAAAGATTTCTGTGAGTAAAAGTTCAAACACTTTGCACAACTTTTACTATTACCAGGGGGGTTTAGTGCCTCTTTGTTGTCTGAAAAATTCAAGTCGCCTTTTATAAATTTTACTGATTGAGCATTTGATTTTAATTATCTTCACTTTTAAAAAAAAAAAATAAAAAATTTATAAATTGTTTTGGTCAGCACATTCGTTTCTTTGATTCTTATATGCTGGTTTATATAGTGCAAGTGCTCTAATAATATTAATAATAATATTAAATCTGCCATAGTGGCCCCTCCTGTAACTATAATTATGATTTGTAAAAAAAAAAAGTATCTTTTATACTATTAATAAAAATTTTGTTTATTTTTTTTTTTTTATAATAGTTTTAAATATCTACCTTTAATTTGAGAAAAACAATGTGTAAAAAAATAAAAAAGGTATGGTTAATATTTACTACTACTGAAAGATTAAATATAATGAAAAAACAATATAAATAAAAAATTTATAAAAAAAAATTATATTTAATTTTTATTAATAAATAAAAAAATTTACAATTAAAATAATATTACCAAAAACAAATAGCTTGTATATTAATCTTTTGAAAAATATTTTCAATCAATTAAATGATAATAAATTTGATTTTAATGATATAAAAATTGAATGATGAGGATGAACAAATATTTGAGGTTTGGTTAAATACATCAAAACCTGTTATTAAAATGATAAAAAATACAAAAATTAATTCTTCAAAGTATACAGTGCCCGGATTATATGTAGACCCCTCCAACTTTTATTAAATCATTTATAAAATAAGATTTACCAATAATAGTTTTTATATGAAGAGCCTTACCGCCAATAATTATTAATTTTTAAAAATGAATGGTGTGGGTGTGAATAAAATAAAAAAATAAAAAAAAAAAATTTCTATATTTTTTTTTTACCACATTTTTATTTTTATATTTTTTTTATCATTAATTTAATAATTAAAAGTTAATATAAGTTTAAAAATAATATATAGTACCTAAATAAAATGATGTTAAGTGATGAAGTTCGATACTCAATATTATCATATAAAAACAGAGGTCACAAGTCGAACTCAAAAATTGCAAAAAAATTAGAGCGCATAAATCAACAGTAGCAAAAATATTAGAAAAGGTAGAACAAACAGGCACAATCAATGACCGTAAACGTCATGGAATATAGAAAGTTTGACGAATGTGATGAACATGATTTATGTTTCAATTTTTTAAATAGTAAATTTACTATATAAAATTAAGTATAATTTGGTATGAACAAAATGGATTTGGAACGATATCATACAAGTCAGTAAGAATTATATTAAAGAGATATAACATAATATATATATATTTAATTAATATATAAAAAAGAAAGTTAAGAATCCCTCATCGATTAGACATAATAGAAGAAAAAGATTTTTTTAAAGTTGTGATTATAAATTTTATTGTGGAATAATGAGAAAATTATATGTTAAAAGCTATTATTATTATAATTTTTAATAATGATGTTCGCAATTCCTTTGTAGAAATTTGTGTGGTAAATTTCATTTTTTTAAATTAAATTATTTTTTTTTTTTTTTTATTGAAAATTTTTTTTTTTTTTTTTTGTGGTGTGTGGGGGAAATTTTTTTTTTTTTTTCATTTTCATTTTCATTTTCGTTTTATCAATATACATTTATTTTATTTTTTCTAATAGGTAATTATATATATATATAATATGTTATAAAAATAAAAACTAATTATTTTTTTTTTATTCTTTAGCATTCATTCGTTTTGGTCCTCAGCATTATCATCATCATGAGCATCCTCACCGGCATTCGTCTTGGTCCTCAGGGTTATCATCCTCAGCATTCTTCTTGGTCCTCATCATTATTGGCATTCATCTTGGTCCTCATTATCATCATCATGAGCATCCTCACCGGCATTCGTCTTGGTCCTAAGCATTATCACCATCAGCATTCATTTTGGTCCTCATCATCATCAGCATCCTCACCGGCATTCATCTTGGTCCTCATCATCATTAGCATTTGTCTTGGTCCTCAGCATTATCATCATCAGCATCCTCACCGACATTCGTCTTGGTCCTCATCATCATCACCGGCATTCATCTTGGTCCTCAGTGTTATCATCAGCAGCAGCATCATCAACCTTAAAGCTTTAGAAAAGAACTTTTAGTAAATCAATAATAATTAATAATTTTATAAAAAAAAAAAAAAAAAAAAAAAAAGAATAATAATAATAATAGGGTATAATAGTTCAATCTATTTGATGGAAGAAATACATTTTCCCTGGCCAGGCAAATATATTGGAACATCAAATGATTTTACTATTTTCAATATCCTAATAATTAAATTTTCAAATAAAATATAATAATTTTTTTTTTTATAAATAATATGTTTATTTTTTACTGTTTTCCTTTTTATTAAAAATAGCTCTTCATGATATAGTTTAGTATTATTTTTTTATTTATTGAAGAAAAAATGATTATTTTTGTTTGTCTACTCTTTTTAACTTTGCAAAGAAAATGTTAAAATAAAAAAAATAAAAGTTAATGAAGATCATCATTGATGAAAATAGTTTTATAACAAAAACCGTATTAAAAGGTATTTTTTATTTATTATTTGTTTGTTTGTTTGTTTTGGTTGTTTATATGTTTTCCAGATAGAAGATTACCCACTCTTTTACACTTTTTTTTTTTATTTCAACCATACACACATATAATTTGTAATAATATCAAAATAGAAAATAAAAAATCGAATGCAGGAAAATTAAAAAAAAAGATTGTATATACAGGTTATTATAAAAAAGATTGAATATATAAAATAATAAATCATAAAAAAAATAAATAATAATAAAAGTGTTATAATCACAACAACATATTTATAAATTGTATACATATACAAATAATGTATATATACATATTTATAAACTGTATATAGATATACATATATTATATATAAATATATTAAACATATATACATACAATGTATATATACACGTAGTTATAAATTATTTACATATACATACAATGTATATACGCATATTTATAAACTATATACACTTACATACATGTATATAGATATACATAAATTGTACACACATACATACACATAAATATAAATTGTATACATATAATGTATATACACATATTTATAAATTGTATACATATACATACATTGTATACATACACATATTTATAAATTGTATACATACATTATATATAACATATATATAAAATGTATACACATATACATATATAAAGTGCATACAAAGATAAATACATTGTATACACACACACACATACAAGCATACACATACATAAATTTTACACACATACATACATACACATAAATGTTATAAACATTATAAAAATTTAATATAACTATTTTATGAAATATTCTAAAATAACAAAAATCTTATTAAAAGAAAATCATCTGATCAATATGGTCATGGTTCAAATAACATAGGTGGTAAACCATCATTGAGCTATAAAGGTGATAAGAAGGCTGATAACAAAGTTGAAGCTGATAAAATTCGTGAAGATTATTTCAATAAGAACAGTGGTACTAAAGTTCTTAACGACCTATTAAATGGAATTTTAATCTTTAGAAATAAAAGCAAAGTTGGCCTTAGTTGAAGCTAGAGAATTCAAAGAAGTTTAAAAGCTGACTATCAAGCCAAGATTTATCCACAGATAAAATCTTTTTAAAAAATTTAAATAAAAATAAATATATTTTTTCATACTACCCTTATACTTCATATATTAAAGATTACGATTATTCTAATAATAAATTACTTTAAATGATTTTTATGTTTCACAAAGTGAAAGATTTAACTTAAGAGATAAAGATAATTCTGAAGTTAATAAAAACATAAATAAAATTAAAAAATATTTAAAAAATAAATATAATTTAAAGTTGATGAGATTGAATATAAAGTAAATCCAACTATAAATAAAATAAAAATAAAAATAAAAATTAAATTTATTTTGATCGATATTTATTGTTAAATGGTGAAAAAAGTGTTAGTGAATTATTAAATTATAAAATGAGTGAAATACATTATTATATAGAAGAATGGGTGAAAATTTAGAAATAAACAAATAATAAAATATTTAATTTGTTTAAATGTGAGATATTCTTTAAATAAAAAATAGATAGATAAAAAATATAAATCAATAGAATATAATATTTATAAAAAAAAAAAAAAAAAGGTGAATTTGAATAATGAAATAGCTTCAAAAATAAATAATCTATTTCATTATTATAAAAAATAATTTACAATAAATAATAAAATGAATAAATAAAATAATAATTTTAATTTTTAATCTTTATTTAATAAAATATTTTATTTATAAATATTAATTTATTCAATTTGAATAATACTAAATAAGGAATATTTTATCGAAATAATCTTTATTTTTACAATCTTTATTGAATTATTAGGAATCGAGTTTTGCCCAGAGGGCTGGTGATCAATATTTTTGTAGTATAACTGCCCCCCCGTCCGACCATATATATACTGTTATGATATCGCTATATTAACGCTATGACCTTAGACTTATTAAGAGTCACTAACTGCTGTTTACTAACTACTGTTTAGTAACTACCAATTCCAGTGTTTCCAAATAACTTAAGAATTAGCTTCTAGAACCAATCTAATTCAGTATAAATACCTCAAGTTCTCAGTCTAAAACTTCAGAGGTTTTTTATTCTATTTTATTAAATAAACTACAATTTCATTACACATATAATATTTGTTATTTGTTGTTTATTTGTTATACTTAATTTACATATATATATACTTAATTATTTGTAAGCTGTATAAAGCTTCATTACATTTTTCATCAGCTTGCTCGATTAGCTCAGTCGGCAGAGCGTGGTGCTAATAACGCCACGGTCGCAGGTTCGATCCCTGCATCGAGCAATATATTTTTGTTTTTTTTTTATGGATAAATCTTCCCGGTGATTTAATATTAAAATTTCCCTATCACCCTCTGCGAAGAACTTATCTTACCTTTACCCTCTGTCCAAGTTTTATCAGTAAATGTAATTCCTGATTAATTTATACCATTTGCTTTTAATTATCTTCTTTTGAAAAAAAAAATGTCCAGGTTTCAACTTAAAAAATCTTCACTTTTTTGTATTCATTAAATTTTAGAACTAAATGAATATATAAGTTATAACAGTTATTATATAATTCTATTATCAATTTTGTATTGTGCCCAGCTAGTATTCAGTGTGGTAAACTTATATCATAAAAAACAATCTTCATGTTTAAAAAAAAATTAAGATTATAGATTTTTAGATTAGTTAGACGATTAAACCAAATAAAAATTTTGATAGAAAAATAAATTATATTTAAATAAAATAAAAAGACAGTTTTTTAAATTTTTTTTTATTACAAAGGTGACGGTATATTTTCTATAATGATATTAATAATTTGGAAAGAGTCATAGAGATTGTTATTATTACTATTGTTGTTATTATTATAAATTTGATCTTCAAAAATAACTTTTGAGGTTGATTTTCTATTTGTTCCATCATTACCATTAATTGATAGCGGTGATAACATACTTGAGTTAACACTTGTAACTTCAATTGGGGGAGGAGGTAATAGGGTTGCTTCTTTCAATGATTTAAAACCAGTATTTTCATTTAATGTTGTGATATTGACGGTTGGTGTTGTATTATAGTTTGTATTATTTGGATTTTCATAAAAATTTGGAGGTGATATAATATTTAATGGTGATGGTGATCTAAAATCATCATCGTCGCTGTGATGATATTGGTGTTTATTTGATACTCTATTACTAAGTCTATTTCCATAGTTATTGTTATCATTATTGGTATTATCATAGTTGTCACTATCATTATGATTATTATCATTGTCAATTGAAGAAAATGGATTAAACAAAAATATTCTATGATTTAAAACTTGATTAGCAATCTTTAAAATATGGGTTGGAGTTACAAAGTTTTTTCCAGAGAGAAGAGCCAATGATTTTGCAGCCAATATGAAATTTGGAGTTGCTCTTGGAGATGGACCAAAAGAAACGAATGGGTGATTTCTTAAGTTTATAATAATTGACCGTATATATTGATCAATATCATTTGATATATATGTCTTTGATAAATATTGTTCTCTTAAACTTTTGATACGATTTGGTGTTAATATAAATTGTTGATCTGTTTTTTGGGGTTGATCTGATTGTTGAGATAATGGTTGCAGATGATAATTATTTTGTAAAGCCATTGGTAATATTAATTTTGGTATATAAAGTCTCTCTGTTAATTTATAATTTAATAAAAAGTGATCTAAAATTAATGGTGACATTGGTTCACTATTACTGCTCTTATTATTAGTATTATCATTGTTGTTATTGTTATTATTGCTATTATTATTATTATTATTATTATTATTACTATTACTATTACTATTATTATTGTCATTTAAATTTAGATTATTAAAATTTGTAAAATTACTATTAAAATTATTATTGTTGTTATTGCTATTAATATTTATAGTTGAAATTATATTAAAATTCTTTGGGGTGTTAAATGTTGAGCCCTTATAAGCAACTTTTCTATAGGTCATCATTTGTAAAAGGGTGTACCTTGTTGACAATGGTGCGTAATCAATATCATCTACTATTAGTATATCCACCATTTCATAATCTTTAATACTACTTGTTAAATTAATATTGATTTGGTTTTGAAAGCTATTAAAACTTGTATTATTATTATTCATATTACTGTTGTTACTATTGATTGGTTTATTGTTTTGATTTTTTAATTTTTCTATATTTTTATTTGATTGATCAGCCCCTACTGGTTTTAATGGTGGTGTGGTTTGTTGTTGGTATGCAGATGATGCATTTGAAGTTGACCTAGATAAACTTGATAAACTATTTTCATTATTAATTGCTTTTGGTATAATTGCTGTTTGACTTAGCTGGCCAAAGCTATTTTGTTTTTGTAATGTTTGTTGTTGATACTGTTGCTGTATTTTATATAAATCGTTATTGTTGTTCTCTTTATAATAACGTGTTAATATTTATATTGATTTTTTAGAATTATATTGGCAATAAATTATAATTACTTTTTTGTGGTAATCTTAAAAATAATTGTTTAACAAGTTCTTCGGAGGTGGTGGTATTCGAGCATGCTATATAACCACATTTTAAGCCGCACATTAGTGGTATAGTTTTATATAGTATATAACCTGTTGAAAAATGTTGCTGTTGTTGTTGCTGTTGCTGTTGCTGTTGTTGCTGCTGCTGTTGTTTTTGTTTTTGACTTTTAAAATCATTTGTTGATGGTGTTGAGCTTAATCTTTTAGACTGTTGTTGTTGCAGTTTATTTTTTAATTTTTTGGTGAAGGAGGTTTGATCTATTAACATATTTGAGTTTGATAAAATACATAAAAATATTGAATGAATTAGATCATTGGGTATATTTATATTTGCTCTTTGTTTCTGTTGTTGTCTAATAAAATTTAAAAAATTTTCATCATCGCCATCTCTGCTATTAATTGTATTGTATTTGCTATCTTTATAATTATTATTATTATTATTATTATTATTATTATTATTATTATTATTATTACTATTATTGTTTGGGGTTGTTGTGCTATTAAGATAGTTGTCATAGTTATCAAATGAATCTAACATTTCTGGGTCAAATAATATTTCATAATTGCTAGTACTATTAGGAAATGCATTCTTATAAAAGTATTCATCACCTCCGTCCTCTTCATCCGATGATATAACTTGAGTACTATTATTTTGATTCTTTTGTTGTTGATGTTGTTTATTTTCTCTTAGTAAATTATTAATTAATATATCTTCGTTATCTTGATAGATGCAACTTGATAAATAGGCTTTAAATGATTCTATACGTTGATTAAATTCATTATTTTCTAATAATACAATTTCTTTGATAGTTTCAATTGGTTCTTCTGATACTATCTGTTCGTCTATAATATTTTCATCTTCATTATCATTTTTTTGTGACCCAAACCCAAGTCTTCCAGTAAATTTGATAAAATTTTTTTTTAATGCTTTTCTCATTTTTATTTTATTATTAATATTATTAATATTATTAATATCATTAATATTATTATTATTTTTTTTAACTTTAATTTATTATCTATCTTTATGCATTGTTTTGTAAATTTTAAAAAAAGTGGTTGAAAAATTTAAAAAAAAAAATTAAAAAAAAAAAAAAAAAATTCAAAAAATAATTAATAAAAATTTAAAAAAAAAAAAAAATAAAAACAATAATAAATATTTAATAGAGAAGTTTTCTAATGATTTATATTTTTTAAATGTTCATTAATAAATTTTTACTCTTAATTTTTCCCGAATATAAATTATATATTTTTGATTTTGATCAATTGATTCTTTTATTAAATAATTTGATAAATATTAGCTTTTTAGAAAAAATATTTTTTAACATCCACAAATTTTTTTAATTATTTTTACATGAAAAGATTTTAATAAAATTTTCAAATATAAAAAAGTTTCAAATAAAATAAAAATCTCCCATGAACTAAATCAATAAGAAAATGTAAAAATAAATTACAAAAAATTATTAAATATATAACCTATAGAAAAATGTTGTGAATAATTAATTGTTAATAAAATAAAAACACTGAAGATTTGGATATAAATTGAATAGAATTGAAAGTAAGTATATTAAAGCTTTAATTTAGGGTGTTTGATATATATCCGAATTTGAACTGAGTAATCTTTTATTTTGGACAATTTAATTAGCTTATTTACTTGGAAATGATGATTTTTCATTAAAAAATTTTAAACTCGCGAGGCAGCCCAGATTTAAAATTTTCATCAATTGCCCAGATAGCTCAGTCGGTAGAGCGCAAGGCTTTTAACCTTGTGGTCGGGGGTTCGAGCCCCCCTTTGGGCGAAACTTTTAGTTTTTTGATATCTTCCTGGTGTTTTATATTTGTGTTGAAAATACCGTGCCCAACTTGTTGTAATGTATTCATATGCAGTGTGGTAAAACTCATTAAAGTATTAAACACATACCAAAACAAACACAATAAACAAACTTTTTACTGATTAATTTAAAGCATTTGCTTTTAATTATCTTCACTTTTAAAAAAAAAAAAAACAATAAACAAACTGATGACTTAATACATCATTAAGAATCATCTTCACTTAAAAAAAAAAAGAAATATTACAGATAATAAAATGACAATAAATGAAATTATCAAAAACAAATTACCAGGAATCATTACTTTTTTATATTTATTTATCAAAAACTAAAGTAGCTCCATCTATATTTATGTAATGTAGATGTAGATACTTTATTTTGATTAAAAGCGGGTTTGATTCATCAACTTGTTTTTAGAATCACATGAATTGACGTTATTGTGCCAAATCTTTTATGCAATTGGGAAAACACATTCCCAAAAATTAGAACATAAAGTAAACTTTTAAAATAAGGGTTGTTTAAATATTATATTAAATTTTATTTTTAAAGTTTTTAAAAGTTATTATTATATGAATAGCCATATGGTCTTTTAGCAATTCCTATTTTTTCGTTTTCATTGTCAAAATGGACATAATGATCTATTATAAAAATAAAAGAGTTAATATTTATATTTTTTATATTACAAAAAAAAATACATGCCTCTTAACCAAGTAAGCCCAATTATAGATTTCCCATATAGAGGTGATTTCTTTATACCCAAACAGTGATATTTAATTCCATTTACATAATTGGAAAAAATATAGTTTTTTGGTTCAATTTTCATTGATGCCCCTCCTTCCATTTCAATATTGATAATAGGAAAGGTATTAAAGTATTCATCGGGGAAATCAAAACACTTAAAAAATTATTATTAGATAAATTCAAAAATTTATAAATTCTATTATTTAAAAATACTTACATAACCATTAAAAAAATTATTTTCATGGCACATACCAGGGTTGCAGTCTCTTTGTAAAAATTTTGCAATTAAATTATAAGCAGGTTCATTAAGTGAAGTCATTGTTGCACCAGAATCTAATATAAAATCACCAAAATATTCTGGTGGAATTAACATATAGTTTGGAGAGTATCTATCATTAACAATAATGCTTTTAATGGGGACACCGTAATGAGAGTCATCTATTGTTAGCATTTCTGTAAAGGTTAAATTCTTATCAAAGTCACTTGGATCAGCATCTCCTAAAACCAACGTTCCTTGAAAGTTTTCATTAAATGACAAAGAAAAACTATTTGAAAGATTTAAATTCTCTAAAATTGATGCTGTTGGTGATTTTCTACAACCTCTACACTATATATTAAATTAATAAAAATATAAACTTTATTTTAAAATAAAATTGATAACTTACAGTTTTACCTAATCCCAAAACACCATTTCTAAGAGTGTGTCCTTGTGTAGTAACTATGATTCCGAATGTTGCCATAACATTCTCTGTGTAGTTATTGAAACTGAAAGTGTCCTGTACTAATAAATTTAAAATTTCAGTTCCTTGAACATAAGATTCTTGATATGAGCAAAAAAGTTCAATTCCAGCAAGTGTTTGAACATTGGTGCAACTATTACCCATTATACTGCATTCATCATTGCATTTCATAAAAGTTGCATATTTAGATGGTTGGTAATAAGGACGCTGTTGTTCACAATTTCTACAATATACAGATGGAACCACTAAATAATTTGAACCTGTATCTACTACAACTTGTTGTTTTATTCCTCCAACATTAACATCTATTAATAGTTGGATTATATCACCTTCCAATTTAATAGGAACATTTCTCTCTTAAATAGATTAAAAAAAAATATTAACCCCAATTTTTTTATTATTAAAAAAAAAAAATAGTTAATTACCTTTTGTAGAAACCATTCTTTTGTTTGATGCTAAATCATTAAAATTATTATTTATATGATTTGAAGCTTGTTTTGTGTATATTGGTAATTTTAAGGAATTTCTATTTGCATTTGCATATTCATTATTAAAAACAAAAATTAAAAATATTGATAATAATAAAATAGATTTCATATTTTAAGATATATTATTTAAAATATAAAAAAGAATAAAATTAATAAAATAAAAAAAAAAAAGATATATTTATATCTTTTTTTTTTTGTTCATTTTTTTTTCATTTTTATTTTTTTAAATAAATAATTTAAAAATATTTTTTGTTTCAATGAAATTACAAAGCTTTATTATTATTATTTTGTTTTAGTTATAGGTGTTTATATACCAGCGAAAGGTAAAATTAAAATTACCAAATTTATATAATTCTATTTAGGGTATTATTTATTTGTGTTAAAATATTACGAATATATTTATATAACTATAATATTAAAGTGGGGTTAAAAAAAATTTAAATTTATTTTTATATTTATTTATTTAAATTTAAAGAAATAATTTTTGTAACTTGTGTTTATGCTATAAATAATTTTAATTAAACACAATGCTAGCATCAATTCACAGAATTAATAATTTTGATTAATTAATACTAATATAATTATTTATATAATTTTTTCATTCGTTCAAAACATTAACACAAAAAAAATCAATTTAATAAAAGTTTAAAATATTATTAATATTTACAATAATTTTATAATGGAGACTTTCATGATCACAATTTACAATAAATAATAAAATTTATAAAAATATATAAAATAGTTATTATAATTGATATGTCACCCTTATATTCCTTAAAATTATAATTATTTTAAAAAAGATTTATTTATTTTTAAAATAAATCACGATCCAAGCTTTATTAAAGATAAAATTTAAAAAAAAAATTATTTATAGTTGTTTTTTTATTAAAGTTATTGATAATTTTATTTTGTGATATATAACAATTTCCCCGAATAAACGGTGGGTTATAGAGTGTTATTTTTTTTTTTATATTTTTTTATATTTTTTTTTTTTAATTATTTAAAGTATGAAAACATGTACACATAAGTGGGGGTTTAAGAGATTTAATAAATAAAAAAGTTTTGTTTATTTTTTTTTTTTTTTTTTTAATTATTTTTTAAATTTTTAGTTTTTTTTTTTATTTATTTTATATCATCAATTTTTACTTTAGCAAAACCAATTCTATCATTTTGGTTATCAAATGCAACATATTGATCTCTTAACCATGGTATACCAACAATAGATTTACCATAAGATGATGCTTGTTTGATACCAAAACAACGAAGATTTACCCCATTATGATTAGTATGGGTAATGTAGTTTTTGGCTTCAATATCAATAACAGCACCTCCATTCATTTCTATATGAATGGTTGGGAAAGTATTAAAATATTCATCTGGATAGTTGTAGCACTAAATAAAGTATATATTAATAATAAATAAAATTAATAATGATATTAAATCAAATACATACAGTTCCTTCAATAAAACTATTTTCATCACCACACATACCAGGTTTACAGAATTTTTGTAAATACTCTCTGATTTTTTTAAAAGCTAAAGGATTTAAATATGTTACAGTTGATCCTGAATCAATGGTGACTTGACCAAAATCTTTAGATTTTAATTCTAAATTATAAGGTGAATTGTTACCTTTCATTGTAAATCTACTAATTTGAACTGCATAATGATAATCATCATATGAAATCATAGGTGTGTATTTGATATCACTAAGGTAAATTGGATCTATATCACCTAAAATTAGAGAACCCTTGTAGTCTTGATCAAAAGATATCGAAAATATTCTAGGTAGATTCAAACTATCAAGTATTGTTTCAGTTGGTGATCTTCTGCATCCTTTACACTAATAACTAAATTAATCATCAGTCATATTTATAATACAATATATATAATAATTACCATTTTACCTAACCCTAACACACCATATTTCATTTCTTTTCCCTCTACATTAATTATTGCATTAAAGGTTGTATATAACTCATCAGTTTTATTAGTAAAACTAAATGTATCTGTTACAAATAAAGTAAAAATTTCAGTTCCTTGTAAATACTGTTCACGAAATCCACAAACATTTGAAATTCCAGACTCATTGGGAATATCAACACAAGTATTTCCTAAAAAACTACATTCTTCATTACACTCTATAAAATCTACAAATGGTGATGGTGCATAATATGGATTTTTTTGTTCACAATTATTACAGTATACTGATGGAACTACTAGTAATACTGAACCTGTATCAACTATAACCTTTTGGTTCACACCACCAACGCAAACATTTGTATAGAGTTGCGATACATCTCCATCCAGTTTAATAAATTTATTTCTACCTATTAAAATCAATTATTAATAAATACATAAATACTAATATTTATATATATTTAAATACCATTTTTTTTATTTATTTGTTTTTTATCTGTTTTTTCATTTAAATTGTTATATTTATAATTGTTAATTTTTTCACCATATATTGGAAGCTTTATAGAATTTGTTTTTCCATAGACACATTCGTTTCTGAAAGAAATCACTAATAATAATATTAAACATAATAGTAGCTTCATTGTATTTTATTTCCCAAATATATAAAATAATTTTAAGTTAAAAAAAAATCTATTTATATTTTTTATTTTCTATTTTTCCTTTTTCGGTATTTAAATTATAATTAAAATTTTTATAATATTGTATTTCTTGTTATAATACCCCTCAAAATTATCAAATTTTATTTCATTAAATATGAATTAGCATATTTATTTTTTTTTAATTCAAAAAATATTTAAAGGTATACAAAAAAGTGTGAAGGTATTAAAAAATCTAAAAAAACTGCTAATGAATGTTTTAATTACACGTGAGATTATTTGAAAAAAAAAGGATTTTGGAAATATGATTATTTTAATCAAATTTTATATTTTTATTTTTTTTATATTTTTTTATTTTTTTCTTTAGATTATTAATATAAAATAAATAAACGATAATAGAATTCTGTAGATAATAAATAATTTAATTAAAATTTTTAATTATTTGTTTTTTTATTTATTTGTTTTTTTTTTTATCTAATAATTTAAATTTATTATTGTAATCCGCATTCTACTGAAAAGCTTAAAGAATTTTTTAAATTTGAGGTATAAATCCAACGATAAGAAGAATTGGGTGGAATAGTTTGATTACTGGGTAAACTAATAATTGTTGTGGTTTGGTCTAAAACGCTACGGGTCATACCAATTGTATATTGAACATTATCCATTGTTGAGAGAATAAATTTATTGATGCTTGTTTGTGAATGATTTACGATGGTTGACTCCCATAGTATATATGATTTACCATTATTATCTATCCATTCAAATTCTTTTTTTTGTATGAAATCAAAAATGCAAACATTTTCTGACTGAATTGAATAACCTTCATTTGATTTTTTTGTTACTCTACTGAGTAAGGTGTTGTTGGTATTTTTGTAATATGGGACTATATTTCTTGGTAGCTTATATTTCAAATTTTTTTTATTACTTTTTAAACCGACATTACTGTAATTAACCGGAATGTTACTTTTTCTTTTTGTCTCTGGGTCATACTTTAATACAATTGGGTGAGATCTTGTATCATTTTGGTTTGGCCTTTTTGATAATAATTCTGAAGTTTTATTTCCGTTATTAAATATTTTTTCATTATCTAAAACTAAGCATTGATTTTGTTTATTATTGTCAATGTTGTTATAGTTATTATTTTTTTTATCTTCTAATAATTCATTGGAGTATTTTGGTTTATAAATTGTTGAATAGATTTTACCTTCTTTTTTATTAAACCATTCTCTTAATTTTCTTTGTTTTGGCTCTTGAAATTCAAGTCTTTTATGTTTATTATTACTATTTTTATTATTATTGTTGATATTGTTATTTATAATATGGTTATTATTGCTAATTTGATCTAGTTGTTCTTCATATTGATAGGTTTCTTTCTGTTGTTGAATTTCCTCTTCATTATTTTCTTGATTTGATTTTAATTCACTAAGTTTTTTAATTATTTTCTTTCTTGAATTTAAAATTTGCTTTGCTTGCTTCATTGAAAGATTGTCATTAATTAACATTCTATTATAATCATCAAGCTGTGATTGTAATTCTTCAACTAATAAATCATTGTCACTTATTTTAACTACATATTTCTTGTCGTTGAATCTTGGCTTTAACTCTTTAGAGTCGTCACCACCTTCATAACTTGAGGAGAATTCAATGTCATCTTCATCATCATCACCATCATTGTTATTTTGCTGTTCTCTTGTAAATTCGCTAAAATCAAACGAGTCACTTGATGAGTTAAATTGGTCAACTAGCTTTTTGGCAAATCCCATTCTATTATGTTCTGTATCAAATACTATATAATTATCTCTTAACCAAGATAACCCGATAATTGATTTTCCTTTTAATGGAGATGGTTTAATACCAAAGCAACGATATCTAATTCCATTAATATATGATGAGGTAATATAACTTTTTGGTTCTACTTCCATTGTTGCTCCACCTAGCATTTCTATATGGATAGTTGGGAATATATTAAAATAATTGGTTGGATAGTTATAACACTAAATATTAACAACAAGAGTATTAGTATAAATCTAAAATAAAACAACTATTAAACTACTTACATAACCTTCAAGCAAACTATTTTGACCACATAAACCTGGTTTACAATCTTTTTGAAGGAAGTTTTTAATTTTATAATATGCTCTTGTATCTATTAATGCTTCAGATGTACCCGAGTCAATAATTACCTCACCAAAATCTTTTGAGGTTAGTATCATTTTAGTTTCTGTAATTTTATCATAAATTCCGGCATTGCTTAACAAAACCCCATAATGAGACTCTTCAATTGTTAACATTGGTGTATAAGTAATAGAATTTGAAAACTGTGGATCAATATCACCCAAAAGCAAAGTTCCTTGATAATTAGCATCTAACCACATTGAAAAAATTCTTGAAATGTTTGTTTTTTCAAAAATAGTTTCAATTGGAGATTTTCTACAACCATCGCACTATAAAAAAATTTTATTAATATAACATAAGAGATGCCAATTCTTTATAATATACTACTTACAGTTTTACCTAACCCAATAATACCATGTTCTAATGAACGACCTTTATTTGAAACGATTGAGCCAAATGTAGCTAAAACGTCACCTGTATCATTTGTAAAACTAAAGGTATCTTGAACTAGAATTGTAATGATTTCTGTATTTTGAAGATAACGAACCTGATTTCCGCATACTTTAATTCCGTTTGATTTAAATTCTATACAGGAATTACCCATCTCTTTACACTCGCCAGAGTCGCAACCCATATATTCAATTTTTGATGATGGATGATAGTGTGGCAATGGTTGCTGACACGAGTTACAAAGTGTAGATGGCACAACTAATAATACAGAACCAGTGTCGACAATAACCTCTTGTGAAACACCACCAACATTAATACTAGTTAAAATTTGAACAATATCACCTTTCATTTTAATTGAATAGCTTTTTTCTAAATATAAAATATTAGTATTTGTTTTTTTTAAAAAAAATTATAATAAGGTAGATATTTACCTTTTTGATTATAAATAACATTTTTATTTGACTTTCCATCATATTTATTTATATTTCTGCCATATAAAGGCAAAAGAACTGAATTTTTTTTTGTAGATGAGATAGATGCTATTACATTATCATTAAATAATACAAATAATATTAAAATTAAGAACAAAAATTTTTTCATTCTAAATTAATATTGAAAACTATTTTTATTTTATTTATTATTATTACAAATATTATACAACTAAAATTACAATCTTTAATATATATTTTTATAAAAAAAAAATTATTACAAATTATGTTTTAAAAAAAGGTTTTTTATAAAAATTATGAAAATATTTTAATATTATTTTGTGGTGTGTTGTTTTTTAAAAAAAAAAAAGCTACCACACACACAATTTTAAAAAGAAATTGACACAATGAAATTTTAAAGAATAGTATATCTTAAAAAAATTATTTTATTCCCCCATAATCCCAATTTTTTTATTATTTTATTTTTTTTACTATATTTATAAAACCCACATTCAAACACAACACACTTTGACCAAAGGAAACATAAAAAAAAAAAAAAATGGAAGAAATACCAAATAATTAAACCCAACTACTATTTATATATACAATTTGTTTTAGTTTTGAATAAATTAAATGGTTAAATAAACAATGTGTGTGAATGTGGTCTATTATTATTTATATGTACAAGTTATTATAATAAATATTTAAGTAGTGATCCCAGTTTTATATATTCAATAGGTGAACATATCTATCGACTACATTTTTTAATTCCTCTGCCCTGATTGGTTTAGCTATATAATCGTCAAAACCTGAATAAAAAAAAACCAAAAAATAATATTGTTAATAATAAGGAAACAAAAATATTAATCATAAACTTTACATACCACTTGATAAACATTTTTCTTTGGCACCTTTGGTTACATTAGCAGTCTATTTTAAAAACAATTAATATTAATAAAAAATTTTAGTTTTTTAAAATAATAATTTTTACTTACAACTGTAACTATTGGTGTGTGTCTATGGCCACCTTCAATTTGCCTAATGATATTTGTTGCTTCGTAGCCATCCATTATTGGCATAAATAAATCCATTAAAATCAATCTAAATGGTATATTTGAAGATTTATAATGTTGAACAGCTTGAAGACCATCTGTAACCCATATGCATCTTTTATTAATAACCCCAAACTTCTCTAATAGCTTTAATAAAAATCCTGCATTCATATCGTTATCTTCAACAACCATTACATCTGGGCCAGTATGGTTTGAGCTATAATTATAATTTGGTGTGTATGAAACATTATTACTGATATTATTATTATTGTTATTATTATTGTTTGTAGGAGAGGTAGATCCATTTATAACATTAGTATTTATATTATTGGAACCAATAGTATTACTTGTAATATTATTATTTAATAGGTTGTAGCTATCTAATTTTGTCGAATTAAATGTTAATTGTGAAGTATTTCCATTTCTATATGTGTTTGATAACAATTGTTTTTTAATATGATCAATTTTATTAAGGGATGGTAATGATGATCTTTTCAATAGTCTACTGCCAACATAAATACCGCTAATACCCACACTATTACCACTAGTGTTTAGAGCTGAACCACTATTTGCACTGGTATTTGTACTGTTACTTGATGAACTTAATGTTGATGATGTATCGTCATCATCGTCATAATCTTCATCTGATAAATAATCAACATCAATATCTTGATGCAGTGGTCTTTTAAAATATGAAACACCATCAAACATTTTAAACTTTATATTCTTTTTAACTTTTTTATGTACATTATTATTACCATCATTATCCTCTGATAACATTTCGCTTGAACTATTTGCATTACCACTAATTGGTACAATTTTTGGTGACTCCTCCATTTGGATTGGTGGGGATGAAAATATTGGTGATCTACTATTTTCTGTATCACTGCTACTTGTATTGTTTGTATTACTACTATTATTATTGTTTATATTGTTTATATTACTATTTCCTTGATTATTATTATTATTATTATTAAATAAATAATTATTTTTAATACTATTACTATTGTTAAGATTATTATTATTAATATTACCATTGTTTATATTAATATTTATATTTATATTATTAATACCATTATTAAATTTAGAAGTAGTGGTGGTTATTGAATTACTATTTATTATACTATTATATATACTATTATTAGTTTCACCAATACTATTATTTAAATTTAACCCGATATTTATACTACTACCACTATTATTTAAATTATTATTATCATTTAGTAATAAAGATATATCTGAAAGCTTATTCGATATTAATAATGATGGTGATGGTGATGCCTGAGGTGTTAATGAATTGATTGTATTATTACTAAAATTACTTCCTGTACTGTTTGATAGAGGATTGAAACCATTATTATTAATATTGCCAGGTGTTGGTGGTGATGATGAATTATAAGATGATGTTGAGTTTGATAACGATGAAGCTGATGCTGATGCTGATGAAGGTAAATATGATTTTAAATCCAAATCCTCTAATAATTTTGGTGATTGAATAGAAAATTTTCTTTGTTGATTTGTTAATAATCTTTCATTATAACTTTTTGCTGGTTTAACTTCTTCGTTTTTGGGTGGTGTTGTATTGGCTGTAGCTATTGTGGATGTAGTTGTTTGTACTGTTGAAGTATTTAAACTATTATTGCTGTTGGTTGGTGATGCTGATGATAATTTTGTAACAATGTAATGATCATCATTCTTATTTTGTTCTGAATTAATTTGTTCAGTATTGAAATAACTGTGGATATTATTATTAACATTATTATTATTATTATTATTATTATTATTATTATTATTATTATTATTATTATTATTATTATTATTATTATTATTATTATTATTATTATTATTTAATAATGAATTATTATATGTTTGATTAGTTATTGGTGAACCTTGTTGTTTATGATATTGTTGATAATAATATGATTGAGGTGGAGATAAAGATGGATGAGTATATTTAGATTGTTGTAAATGTTGTTGTTTTTTGGGATATTGATAAAGTTCTGTTTGTTGTTGTAATTGTTGTTGTTCATTTTGAAATTGAGGTTGTTCAGGTGGTGAAGGGATTGTTATTTGTTGTTGCTGTTGTTCTTGCTGTTGTTCTTGCTGTTGTTCTTGTTGTTGGTCCCGTTTTTGTTCTTGTTTTTGCTTATATTGTTGACTAGTTATTGGTAATAGTTTATTATTTGGGAAAATTAAACTCAAAATTTGTTGAAATGATTCTGTGTTTCTGGGTGGAGCATCTGAAACACACCAAAAACTACCTTGTAATTTACTAGCTAATATTCTTTCTATTCTTCTTGTATGTATAATACCAGGTGATGGTGAATTTGTGCAAACAACAATACCATGAATTCTTTTTGATCTAGCCTCGATTGATAATTGAAACTGTGATAAACATTTTGTTAAAAAATCTATATCTGCACTCTCCAACTCTCCTGTTTGCGTTGGTAGTCCAATGTATCCCAATATAATCAAATTGTTTGCTGTATCACAATCTTGTAATCTTGTATTTTCAAATGCTCTTTCAAATTGTTTATCTAAGCTATCTATATTTTCTATTAATGCTGAACTATGGATAACTATTGTATTATTAATATCAAACTGTTTAAACAATTGATTAACATCTTGTAGAATTTTATTTTTATTGTCAATTAATATTGATACTATATGATTATTTGGACTATTATCTGTGGGTTTGTTTGTTGTTGTTGTTGTCGTGTTTATTGTTGTATCATTTATTGGAGATGAGTCGAATTGTAAACTCATGTCTTTTTAAAAAAAAAATATGAAAAAAAAATAATGATATTTTTTTTAATAGTTATTTGTTATTTATTTTGGAAAAAAAAATTATAATTAAATATTTATATTTTGGAAAAAAAATAAAAAAAATAAAAAAATTTTAAAAAAAAGGGTTAAAAATTAATAATTTTAATTTTATTTTTATTTTTTTTTTATTTATCTTGATATTAGAAATTATTATAAATATTTATTTTTATTTGTTTATTTAGGTAGTTGTATTTGTTGTGATTGAATTTTATATGGTTTTTTAAAATAAAAAAAAAATAAAAAAAAATAAAAAAATAAAAATATTTTTTTTTAATTTATTTTATTCTTTTCATTTTTCAATTCAAAATATTTTACCTTTTATAATTAAAAGTTGTCTCCAATGGGAAATTATTTTTTCTTTTTTTATATTTTTTAAAATTTTTTTTTTTTTTTTTTTTTAAAATTTAAATCTTTTCAAAAATGAAATTTAAAATACTTTAAATGTTACAATATCAAAAAAAAAAAGAAAAGAAAATGATTGTTTATTTTAATTAAATAATTTTATAAATATTAAACAAAAAATTATTGTGTGTGTTAGATAAAATCACAATTCAACACTATATTTCATTTTTAGTTTAATAAACAATTAATTATATATATTATAATTAATTTTTTTTTTTTTTTTTAATTTTTTTTTTTTAATTTTATTTTTAATTTTATTTTTTAAATTTTTTAAATTTTAATTTTAAAAGATATTAAATGGATAAAGAGGAATTAAAATTATCGGGTAAGTTATTTTTTGAATTTCTTTGAGTTTTCACCTATATTAAAATGAAATTTAAGTGAATATTTTCTTTTTATAGAATTTTGGATAATAATTATGCAAAGCTTCTTTTAAAATAATAATAAATGACAAAATACTTATTCATCCTTGACTCATATTAAAACTATTCGATTCAAAGATTTTTAAAAGAAAAAAACAATTAAATAATATAAAAATAATTAAATTAAAAAAAAAAACAATAAAAAAAAAAATGTATAAAAAGGTTTTTTTTTTTTTATTATTTTCATTAAATCATTCCAATCAAATAAATAAATTTAAATAAATTCAAATAAATTCAAATAAAATTAAATATAAATATAAAAATGGCCACAATTTTTGATATCTTATTAAACCAACATTTAAATGCAAATTGTAAACAATCCCAATGCCCAAAAAACAAAACAAAATCAATTAACTTTTTACCACCATTAGATGTTGCCGAAACCAATGATAGTATTACCATCGAAGTTGAGTTAGCCGGCGTTGATAAAAATGATATTGATATCGAAATTAAAGAATCAATTTTAGTAATCCAAGGTGAAAAGAAAAAGGCATCTTCAAATAGCACAACCTCCACTGTTTCAACAACCACTTCCTCTTTGCCATCTTCAAACATCTCAAATACAGAGTCCAATGATTTACCAACAATTGAAGAGTTTGAAGAAGGTGACCCTTCTATTAAAAAAACCGTTGCTTCCACTAATATCTCCTCTACCCCTGTTGCTACCGAAGAACCCAAATCAGAAACTAAAAAGAAGTATATCATCGAAAGAACATCCGGCCACTTTAAGAGATATATTGATTTAACTAAAATACTTTACACTTTAGATCTAAACTCAATATCTTCAAACTATACCAATGGTCTTTTAACAGTATCTATTAAAAAGAAACCAGACTACTCAAACACCATTAAAATCAATTTAGTTTAATTTTTGTAATTTGTATTTAAATAAAAATTGTATTCTTTAATGTAAAATTTTATATTTTTTTTTAAAAAAATTATGTCAAATTTTGATATCTTTGAGTTTTTTTTTTTTTTTTAATTTTTTTATAATATTATGTTTTTATTAAAACCAATGATTTAAATTAATTGTCAGACCTTCATGGAATTACCATTCGGAAAATCTGTAAAATTTTCCTTTGATACACCATTAACCAGGAAGATAAAATCACAAGGAAGATATACTCTTCCAAAAGATTGACCCTTGGGCGAGTTGAACGCCCGACCCCCCGCTTTCTGCTGTTTTCTCACATTGGAGACGAGTACAATAACCACTATGCTAAAGAGTCATTAATGAAAATATAATGTTGAATGCCGATACAAATAGAAAAAATCTTAGATTTAGAATTTTAATATAAAACTGATATTTGTTAAAAAAACCAAATTTTTTTTTTAAAAAATATTATTTATTTTCAATTAATTATTTTAGATTATTTTATTTATTTTGTTCATTTGATGATAGAAAATCTAAAGGAATTTGGGATTTGATAATTATATTTCTATTTGAAAGATAAGCAATTAATTTCCAAATTGAAGGTATTACGACTGTTGCTATAATAATTTTTAGAGTATCACCGACTAAAAATGGTACCAAACCAAATTTAATTGAACTAGACCAACCTATTTTACTTGCCAAAACTGGAATACCTACAATATAGATAACGACATTACCAATAATCATTGATAATAATGTTGATTTCCAATTAAAAAAATAAACCCTATCACTACCAAGTTCTGATGCATAACCAACAACAAATGCAGCGACGATGAACCCATATAGATAACCACTGGTACTTCCATTCATATATGCAACACCATGACCTTGATTTGTAAAGAATGGAGCACCAGCTAAACCGCATAACAAATAAAGAACTATAGTTGAGACACCCATCTTCCAACCCAATAGTGATGAGATTATGAAAATTCCTAGGGTTTGTAATGTGACCGGTACGTTTCTGGCATGTGGTAAATAAAATGAAATTTGAGCAAATGCTGCTATCAAAAGCATTGAAAAGCAAACACATAAAACCCTTGATACCCATTTTAACCATGGCTTGGATACATGTTCATTGATCATATGCTCGATAAAACAACTGTATCTATTACGACGAACTAAAATTCTTTCTTTGCTATTATTGATTAATGATTCATTTATTAAATCATCATCGTTTAATTGTTTGCCATTTGAATGTAATAAATAAAAATGGCCATCGTTACCAATCTCTCCATCATTTTCGTAAATAGTTGAAATTCTCTTTTTTACACTTGCAATTGTTTCATTTCTTTGATTTTGTTCAATGTTAATTCTACGACCTGATAAAGTTTCTATTTCAAAACTATTATGTATAATATTTAGTTCCATGCTATGTTTTAAATAAAAATGATTAATAAAAAAAAAAATTCGATTTTTTTTTAAATTTTAAAAAAAAATAATTTAAATTTGATTTTTTTCAATTTGGTTGTTATAATGGGAAAATATTGGTTTCCAAACAAATTAAATTAATAAATATTTAAAAAAAAATAAAAAAAGAATTTCAAAAAGAACCATCATGATCTTATTCCAAAAATATAAAATATGCATATTTTTTTATAGTTTTTTTTTTTTTTTACAAATAATCTTTTTCTTTTTTTTCTTTTTTTATTTTTTATTTTTTTATTTTTTTGTTACTTATTATTATTTTATTTTTTTTATTTTTTTATTTTTTTATTTTTTTTTTTTGTGTTTATAAAATTAATATCCTTATCCTTGCACAGAATAATGTAGATAATACCAACTGAATTTTTAAAAAAAAAATCTAAATTTTTGAATAAATAAAAAATACACAAATAAAATAAATGAATTTTAAAATGGACAATAAAAACCAATATCAATGAAAAAATTAAAATAAAAAAAAAATAAATCGATGATAAAGTTGTTTTAAATATGGTGTTATGAAAATATTAAACAAATAAATAGAAAAAAAAGTAAAAAAAAATTAAAACATGTCAAAAAAATTTAGATTTTTTTTTTTTTGAAATTAAAAAAAAAAAAGAAAAAAAAATAGGAAAAAAAAAAAAAAAAATTTTTAACAAATTTTTTTATTTTTTTTTTATTTACTTATTAAATAGAGATACATTTACACAAAAAGGTACATACCCACTACACACAATTATTTTTTTAAAAAAAAAAAAAAAAAAAAAAACAAAAAAAAAAATTGTTTTATTTTAAAAATTTAATAATAAAAAACACTGGATTATATATTTTTTTTTTATTTAAATAATAATAATAAATAGAATTGATAACTTTGTTTTTTTTTCTTTGTATATATAATTTATAATTAAATTTTTTTTTTTTTTTTTTTTGTATTATAATAAACACACACCAACACACACCAATTATTTATTTTTTGATAATATAATTAATAAAAACTTTTTTTTTTTTTAAATAAAAATAATAATAAAATAATATTTAAAGAATGTCACAATATCCAGGACAATACTCACAACCGGGTCAATATGGTGCTCCAACCGATTTAAATAAAGCATCACCACAACCAGGTCAATATGGACAAGCTCCAGGTCAATATGGCAGTTATCAATCACAACCAGGTCAATATGGTTCACAAAATCCAGGTCAATACCCACCACAACAACAATATGGTCAACAACAACAACAACAACAACAATACAGCCAATATAATCAACAACAATCATATAGTCAATATGGTGGACAATTACCACCACAACAATTTGCAGCTCCACCAACACAACAATATCCACCACAACAATACCCACCACAACAATATCCAGGTATGAATAGTGGTGCCTATTCATCCTATGGCCAATATCAAACATCAAGCTATGCAGCTGGAGGTTATCCACCACAACCATATGGTGCCTATCCAACCCCAACACCACCAGTTGCCTATGGTGCTTATGGTGTTCAACCAGTTGCCGTTGGTGTAACCCCAGTCGCTGTTGGTATTACTACAGTTGCTGATGTACCATATACCCTTCACATCAAAGGTTCAAGATTAGATAGAAAAGATGTTTTCTCAAAATCAGATCCATTCGTTACAATCTCTGTTCCAAGAAATCCATTATATGTTGGCAAAAAGAGCGTTAGCTACAGTGGTAAAGCTAAAGGTGGTAGTACTGCTCAATGGGCTGTTGTTCACAGAACTGAAACTATCAGAGATAATCAAAATCCAGTTTGGCAACCATTCACCATTGGTCTCCACACTCTTTGTGGTGGTAATTTAGAAAGACCAATTAAAATTGAATGTTGGGATTACGATAATGGTGGTGCTCATGATCTCATTGGTAAAAGTGTTACTTCACTCCGTGAAATGCAAGTTATGAAAGAAATTCGTTTAGTTAATAAAAAGAGAATTGGTATTGGTAAAACCGCTGGTACAATTGAAGTAAGTCATTAAAAAACATTATTATATACAATACTATTTAAAAAATATACTAATTGATTAAATTTTTTTCTTCTTTTTCTTTAGGTTCTCAAATGTAGTCCATAAAAATAATTTAATATTATAAAAAATAAAAAATAAAAACTGTTATTTTAATTAAATAATAAACAATAACAAAAACAATCATTACATCCATACACACATATATAGATTATATATAGAATAAAATAATATAAAACATAAAATAAACTAATGTAAAATTCTTTTATAAATATTCTTTTTTATTATTTTTATTTAAATTAAATCCATTCTTCCAGCCTGTACTAAATCTTTAATTGGTCTATATTTTACAAAATAAATTGATGTCTTTTTAAAATCGATGGTATCTCTGTGGATATTTGTAAAAATATATTAGTAATGGGTGTATTTATTTTCTTTTATAAAAATAACTTACTCGTCGATTAAATATTCACCTAAATTTTCCTTTGGTTTACAAAAAACCCATGTATTTAATTGTGGTTCTAAATAGTGATCTGGACTCATTGTTGAATGATCTTTATGAAGAGATGATAGTATTGTTTTTTTAAAATATTCGTCCATATATGATTTATACCTATATATTTATATAATTTTACATCGATTAATAATATAAATTAATATTTATTTTAATAGATTGATAAATATTATTATTATTCAAATCTGCTGTTGAGTATTTAATAATGTACCTTTCAGTATATTTTAATTCGTGTTGTGATAATAATTCAGTGTTTGATTGACTTTCTTTTAAAACTGATGTGTAAAACTGATCAATTTTTTTAATCCTTAATCTTAAATAACATTTTACTATATATTTTAATCTTTCAATTTCCATTTCGTAAATATCTGCAGTGAACTGATGACTCTTATTTTGAATACCCTCTGTACATAATGCTTCTTTTTCTTCTATTTTTTCCATAACATTGCTGATGATTTCATTTTGATAATCTAATAGATTTGGTGCAAATTTTTCATTTATCCATATAGTTTTTAATTTATTTAATAGATTATTTTCATCGTTATCTAGTTGAGTATTATATTCATTATCCATCATTATTTATTTGATTATTATTAATATTATTATTATTTATATCAAATAAAAAAAATAATTTTGAAAATGAAAAAATAATTTTTAAAAAAATTAAAAAAAAAAAAAAAAAAAAAATTAGAGAGGGAATATTTAACCAGATAATAACACAGAAAATAAAAATAGAAATTACATTTTTTTTTTTGATTAAAATACAAATTTTTATATACAGTTTTGTTTTTGTTTTTTATTGAGGAAAAATAGTATAGGTTATTACTATTGAATGGCTTTAATAATGAGAAAAAATGGGTTTTTTAAGTTAATATTCAAAAAGGCCCCTTTTTATATTTTTTTTTCCCTATTTAAAACCCCTCCCTTTAACCTCCAATACCTTACCCAAATAAAAAAAAAAAAAAAACAGCCCCCGGAAACCTTATTTTAATAATAATTTTTTTTTTTTTTTTTTTTTTTTTTTTTTTTTTTTTTTTGATTTTTTTTTTTTTTAATTTATCGATTATTCTTTTTGTCCAATTCGGATTAAAGGTATTTATATTATTGTCTATATTATTTATATTATTATTTATTATTATATTATTATTATTATTATTATTGTTACAAATTATTTTATGAATTACAATTTTAAACCCAAATTGCAACTACACCCATAAAAGCAAAACCTAAAAATAATAAAATTGATTTAATTAAAACATCTTCGCTATCATGACCCAATTCTTTTGGAATGACTTCTACAACGGCAACATAAAGAAAAGTACCACTTGCAATACCTTGTAAAATTGATGGTGCTAATGATTCAGCAACTTCGCTACTAACAACCATACCAATAACTGATCCAAGGGGGGAAGTTAATGAAAATATTAAAATCAATAAAAATAATTTTAAAAATGATCTAAATAAAATAAAAAAAATTAATTAATATTATTAAAAAAAAATGCTGGATATGGATGAATTAAAACACTAAAATATACATACGGTTTTTCATCTGCTGAAGTAATTGTGCTAACGCCTAATGCAAAGGAAGCTAAAATTTTGTGAGCAAAAATTGCAATTAAAATATCGATGACGTGTCCTTCAGATGATTGAATACCCATTGCTAGACCTTCAAACAAAGAGTGAATTGAAAGTGCGATAACTAAAAGGAATGGTAATAATAGATTTCTAGCTTTTTTTGATGCAGTAATTTTGTCTTCTTTTGAGATTACTGGTTTGTTGTTGATAGTTTCAGGGACTATTGAGACTGAATTGTTATCCTCGTAGTGGTGATGGTGACTCTTTTTTAAACTATTTTTTCTATTTACATTTTCTGTTGACCCATTGCCCCTAGTTTTAGAATCAGGAATGAAGGAAAATACTTCTTCCTCTTCATAATCTATAATAATTTCATCTTCTTCTTGTTGTGGTGATGGTTCCTGTGGAAATCTATAGCTTAAACTTTTGTTGTGTGATTTTGGTTGTCTGCCATTATTAATAATTTGTGCTGGTTGGATCTGTGCTGGTAATACAGTGTTGCCACCTTTATCTATAAAATCACCATTAACACCATCATAATTTTGATTAATATCATTTGATCCTAAAAGCTTTTGTCTCTCATCTGGCTCAATTGCTATAACTCTGTGATTTTGATCAATATTATTTACTAAAATACTATTACTATTATTATTATTATTATTATTATTACTATGGTTATCAATGCTGATGTTGTTATTGATATATGAATGGTGGTGTTGCTCATCTTGAATATTAACACCGTGCTTTTCCTTTTCATGTGCATGGTGACTACTATGGCCGTGACCATGTAATTCATTAAATATTGTGCTATTCATAAACATTGCGTTTATAAACAACTCTAAAAATAAGGTGAATAAGAACCCACCACATAAACAAAGTGCGCTATAATATAAAATTGAAATTAGTAAAAAGAAAATAAAATAAATAAAAACTACTATTACTACTTACGCTAATGGATATTCGAATTTTTTAATATAAGGCTGCATTTCTTCATCGGCAGTTGCAAAAAGATGTAACATACCTGCCCCAAAGAAAACACCTCCACCAAATGCATTACTCCATGATAAATATCTTGCGCTATTCTTTAAGTTTTTCATCCAATATGGTGCTATACCTCCAAGTAATGACATTACAAACAATACCGTTGTCGATATAATTTTTAATTGTAGAACTGATATCATTTTTTTATTTTATTTATATTGCTATTATTATTATTATTATTATTATGTATATACTATATTTTTATTTATTATTATTATTTTATGTAAAATCGGTAAATATGTCGTTATTTTTTTTTTTTTTTTTTTTAAATATTATTGCTATTATGCTGCTTTTTTTAATGTTATTATTATTGAGTTTTGAGTGGGATTATTTACTATAAAGAACTTCCTTTTTCACTAAAGGAATTCTTTATTAAATACAATATATGTTGGTTCCCACACAAAAAATAAACAAAAATATAAAATTCTTATTTTTTATTTTCTATTTTTTTAAAAAAAAAAAAAAATTAAATTAAAAATAAAAAAAAATAAAAATAAAAATTTAAACTATTATTTTTAAGTTATTAAAAATAATAAATAATAAATTTAACTTTATTATATTATTGTTTTATATAAATTATTATTATTATTATTTTTATTATTATTATTATTTATATCTTATTCTTTTTTATTCTTTTTTATTATTATCGAACTAATTGTAGTAAATAAGCAATAAATAAAATAAAATTATTATTACCTTATTAAATTTTTTTAATTATAACACTATTTATTTTATAATAAAAAATAGATAATATAAATTTATTAAATCTTATTACTTTTTTTAATATCTGTATGTATGTGTGTGAATGTGGTTTATTTAAATTTTGGCTTTATTTTTTATTTATTTATTTATTTATTTCGTGTGTATGTGTAAGCGTGGAATACTATGAATTAAAATTAAAGTTTTTTGTTTATATATAGTGTGTGTTTGATTTTTAAAATTATTTTTTAAAAAGCGAACCACCAATAACTAAATTTAATTATCAATTTTATAATAGATTTAAAAAAATAATGATTTGATTACTGATAATTGATTATTGATGTCGAAATATATATATTATTAATATTATTTTATTGATCAATAAAATATATCAAATTTTATTAAAAAACGGTTTTTTTTCAAGTATCGAAAAAAATAACTAAAGTAATAATTTAATATTTATTAATTAATATTTGAAGAAAATAAAAAAAAAAAAAAAAAAAAAAAAAAAAGTAAAAAGAATTTTTTTTATAAAAAAAAAAGAATTTGAAAAAAAAAATAAAATAAAAAAATAATGTTAAAAAAAAAAGAAATATAAACAGAGTTATAATAGTTTTTTTATTTTATAACAGGATTTGAAAATTTATTACACTTCGTTCCACTCCGCAACCAAAAGACAGTTTAATATTTTTCGAAAAATTTTTTTTTAAAAAATATATAAAATTAAAAAAAATAAAAAACTTTTTTTTTGGTCCAATCTCTGTAAAAAGATATCTCTGGACCACCAGAAAATAAAAAAAAAAAATAAAAAAAAAAATTTTGATAAAAAAAAAAAAAAATCTGTTTAGCTTTCACAAAATGAATAAAAAAATAAAATGAGAAAGATTTTAAATTTAAAATTTTTTTTAATTGAATATATTTTTAAAAATTACATAATATTGCATTGAGGATTTTGATTATTTTGTATTGATACACTGTCATTTTTATCGATAATTTCATTAAAATGGTATCTTAAAAAATGATGGGATTCAAAGAGATTAAAATGGTACAATTGATGGTTGAATATTGGTGGAATTGCTTCAAGAGGAATTTGGTTTAATTTTAAAAAGTGGTTTAAAATGGTGACTCTTCCAGAATTGACAAGACCATTGAATAGTTTTGTTGATATTTCAAAATTACCTTCACTAACACCATTACTTAAGGATTCTAATGGTGGTAATAGATCCAATTTTAATAGCTCTTGATAGCATTTTAAATTACCAGTGGTTAAAAGTTTGTTGATCATCAGTTCGAAATTTGATAGGCTTTTGAAATTATTTTTATAATATTCGTTGCTGAGCATGTATTGAATGGTTTGAGTGTCACCTTTTGAGAATGGGCAAAGTGACGAGGAATTGCCAACTATAATTTCATCAAAGGAAAGAATCAAATCATTTTTGTTGATGTTATCTTCGTTGAGTTGATTGCTGCATATGGTTTCAATTAAATAGTTGGTTACTTGATAATTTCCTTTATTATAAGATGCCTTTAATAATAGTGTCATGTCGAATTGATTATTGAAAGAGTTGAAATCTTGAATTAGGGTTTTAATAGTTTGAGTACTGGAAAATTTTGCAAGCGATTTTATAATATATTGATGGAATGTTGGTACGAATGAGGGTTGGTATTGTTTTATTTGGTTTAGTATTTTAAAAAATTGAATCATATCATTTTTTAGTAACACTTGTTCATAATCTGATAGCTGATTGTTGCAGAAAATGAAATCGTTATCATTTTTTTTGTGTTGTGATATATTTGAATTTGGAGTTTCCATATATATTTTTAAACTTTCATTTGGAGGGCCATTAACTAGTAAATGATAATTTTCATTTAAAAATTGTTGTAATTCTTTAAGGTGGTTAGTATCCTTATTCGTGGTTTCGATTCTACGGTGATTGATAGGTATATTGGCTGGTCTTGTGTGCTCCCCATGTTGTTGAATTAATTGATTAAATGTATGAAATGCTTCTCTGATGGCATTCATTGGGTAAAGTTGAATAATTGAAAGCAAAGCATATGTTTTAAATGGATTGGTGTTATTTGTTTGTAATAGTATTGGGTCAGTGAAAAAAGAACCAATGAATTCATTTAAATTTAGGGGCTTATTATGAGGGTTGCTAGGGATTAAAAAAAATTCTATTATTGGAAAACCTGGCTCGAAAAATGGTAATATGGGATCTTCTAATACTTGTTTTAACAACTCGATATCAAACATTTTTATGGCATATGGTATTAAAAATCTTGAAGGACCATTTGTGACCAATGGGTATAGTTTGGTGAGATCTCTTGATTTTTTATGGTCAAATAAATAATGGGTAAACACTCTAGTTTTAGTTGACGAGTCAAATTGATTGCCAGAAAACAAATGTTTGGCCAACAAATCCATATAAAAGATGTCAATTAGTTCATCTTTCGAAAGAGTTCTTTCATAGAGGCCTGCTGGTACTTCCCAAGTTGGATTCTTTTTGTAAAAAATCTCCATTTCTAACTGAATAGTTTCTGGATCGACAAGGGCATTTTGAAGTTCTAAAATAGAGATGGGGTTATAGTCTAAGATATATTTCTTTTCAAAGAGTTCTCTCTTGAAATCTTCATTTTTAATATTCCTTTTAACATCAACCCATGGTATACATAGAGAACTATGGATATTGCTTCTAATTTTAAAATTGCAGTACTCTTGTAAAAATGGGATGGTTTTATCTGGACAGCGAAGATGGTTATTACCGTAAAAACAATTATAGATTGCTATATCTTGGTCATACTCTTGACTGATGTTATCATAGACATATTTGATGGCTTCTAATGACCCTGAACGAATGGCTGTATCTAGAATAGTGCCTGGTATATATTCATATCTTGAACCTTCAGATAATTCTTTATCGACCAACTCTAATTGCCACATTAAATGTTCATCGATTAAAAATCTATAAGCATTAACCAAGCATTCAATTTCTGATTTCTTTTTAATTAATACCAATTTCATTAGTTGAGCATCACCGCAATTCCTTAAAAATTTCTTTACTGATTTCTCTGTAAATACCAAATATTCGTCATTTTCAATCATTATCTTTAAAATTCTCCATAACTTTCTTTTAACTAAAAATCCTAATGTTCTAATTTCTCCAATCTTTTTTCTATTACCAATATACATTAAATTATCATTCTTTAATAATTCTTCATAATTTAATATTTCAATTGATTTAAATATTTGATTTTGAAGATATTGATTTCTCCAAATTTTTAAAAACGTATCACTATTATTATTATCCATATTATTATTATTATTATTATTATTATTATTATTATTATTATTATCTGACATTGCTATAATTTATTATTTATGTTTTGGAAAAAAAAAAAAAAAAATTATTTTATATTTTTTTTTAAACTCAAATATTTAATAAATAAAAAAATTATTCGGTGATTATCTGGTATTTAGTATTAATTAAAACTACGTTGGAAATTCCATTATTAAACAGCAATGCATTTACACAGCATTCATATATTTGTTGGGAAAAAATAATTATAATTTTTAAAAAAAAAAAATTAAAAAAAATTAAAAAAAAATCAAAAAAAAATCAATTATTAAAATAATTTTTATTTAATTAAATAAAATTGCAAAATATGATTATATTTTTATTGATTTAATAATTTGCTTTATTTTGATTTTTTTTGATTTTAATTGATCATTTGTTTTTTAAATAATTGATTAATTTTTAACAATAGGGAACATCTCCAATTTAAACTATTGCGGTTTTTATTAAAAAATATTTTACTTGTTTTTAAAAGAAGTCTGATAATATTTGTGGGGAACATTGATCTTCAAAATATTTTGAAACACAGGTATAGCTCTTCTTTAATTGTATACAGCAGTATTTATGTGGGCAAGAGTCATCAGAGCAAATGTGGTTTTCTGGTCTGAAGTGGGTGGTAATGCCGGTGGATGTTATGGTTTCGGAGCCAGTAGTGGTAGCTGATGTGGTGGTGGCTGATGTGGTTGTAACGGATATTGTGGATGTAATGGTTGGTAAATCGGTGGTGACAACTTCAGATGTGACATCCTCGGTGGTGCCAGGATTTACTGTACAGATACATTCACCAGCGTTACAGAATGATTCTTCACAATTTGGTAAAAATATAGAACAGTCAACTGGAATAGCAATACATTGATTATCAATACACGAACGTGGAAGACATTCATCTGTGGTTACACAAGTTGTAGAGTTACAATAGCAGTTTGGTATAGGGTTACCAATACAACCTAATTGTTCATCACATACGTTTTCGATACAAACATCTTCGCCACTGCAGTCAATATCAACCATTTGACAGCCTTGGCCTTCGATACATTTTGGTGTGGTGCACATGGTTGGGTCACCGTTACATTGTCTTGGTCCTGATATGCAATTTCCGCATATTGGTGTTTTGGTTACACACGATAGTGGGTCATCGATACATGGAGCAGTAATGTTATCTCCGTTACATACACCATTGGCATCTATCCAACTACAGAAAAGATTTGCCTGTGAAAGCAAGTTAAGTGGAGATCCATCTGGGAAATTATCTGTAGATCTTAGACAGGTATAGACATCTATTGGGTAAACAGTTGTACCATCAAAATTGAGGGTTGGAATGGATTTGTACTCGAAATTAACACTAGCGCCGAAACCTTGTGTATCGCCACCACTATCGAAAACCAAACTATTATTGAAATATACCCAGAGTTCGCTATATGCTGAGAAACGGAAGACATCAATATCAGGATCAGTAGCAACTGTTGACAAATGAAGTTCGAAGCAATAGTATTGATTGAATGGATCTCTTGCATATTCTGGAAAATCAACTGGGTTGCCAAAACCAATACCGGCAGTTGGGGCAAATGGCCCAGCATCACCAATTTGAACTTCATCATCCCATGCATCAAGAGTTAGCGGGAAAGTAAGTAGATAATTGGTACATTTGGCATCAGAATCAAACCATTGATTAAACGATTCTTCATTATGTACCAAAACAGTTCCATCAGGAGCAAGGAATGGGTTTTCGCCACAGCAATACTGTGGTCTTTTATTTTCTCCTAAAGTGGGGGCCATAATGCCTGGAACAACACCTCCCATATTTAAAGGGATACCAAAATCTGGTGATCTATCGGGTTTAAAATTTCTTAACACAACATTCATCTCTAAAGGTCTTAATCTACCATCATCAACAGGTGGTTGTCCTATAATATTAAATTAAATTAAAAAATATATAATTTTGTAAAAAAAAAAAAAAAAAAAAAAAGAAAAAGAAATTAATAATTACTCAAACATTATTTATAAATAAATATTTTATAATAAAAAATAGAGATTCTTTTATTTATTCTTTTTTTTTATTATTTAATTTATTTTTTATTAATTTATTAATTTATTATATTTTATTTTAAAATATTTTTTTAGATTATCTTTATTGTGATCTATTTTTTATTTTAGAATTAAATCCATTTAATTAGCTAATATTTATAAATACCTTTAGAAAAAAGATAGTTTGAAAATATAATTATTAAAGTTAATAGTATTTTCATTTTATTATATACCATCCTCTTTCCAGGTGGGGAATGGAAAAAAATAAAATAAATTTTTTTTTTTTTTTTTTTTTTTTTTTTTTTTTTTCAAATAGTATAAATTACAATGTATTATATTTTTTTTTTTTTTTTTTTTTTTTAATTTATTAATTTAGTAATATTTTTACAAAGTAATAAATCAAAATATTATAATATTATGTGTTTTTTTCATATTAATTACCCCAAACACTCTTAATAGTTCACACAGTGTGTGAGTAAAAAAAAAAAAAGATAAAACAACTATGGGGTACTACTCATTCCCGCTGCAATTTTATTTTTTTTTTAAAAAATAATCACACAATTTCATTTAAAAAAATATCATAATTATTTTTTTAATATTTAAATTTTTTATATTAAAATATGTTGTATTATAATTATTTTCAAAAATATATTTTTTGTGAAATCGTGATTAATTTTTTTAAAAAAAAGATGATTAATGATGATAATTTTAAAATAAATATCAATTAATATGGTGACTTTCTGACCTAAATATGCGGTTTTTTAAAAAAAAAAAAATATTTTTAAAAAAAAATATTTTTTTTATAAAAATAAATTTTTGTTAAAACTCTGGTCATTATAAAAATAGTTTTTTATATTACAAAATAACACAACATATCAATAGAGTGTAATATACTCTAATAAAAAAAAAATTTTTATAAAGTAGTTTTAAAATGGTATTATTGCATTTAAAAAACATTGGGTTTAGTACCATTAATTTTATTAGTGGTGGAAGTCTTAGTAATGGTAAAAATGAAGGTGTGAATAATAACAACAATCATGGAGAATGTAACTGTGAAGAGGGGAAAAAAGAAAATATCAATACAGTTAAACATATGGAAAAGTTTTTTAATCACCATGATTTCTCAGCTTTTTTATCATTTAGTGGCTTTCACCATCACCACCATCACCGTCACAATAAAGAATCACAACAACCAAACACAGCTATAAATAATAAAGATACCCCAATGACTGGATCAACTGATAATAATATTATTGAGGAATCAATTGCATTCGGTAGTGACATTTGCACAAATTTAAATAAAATCGGTGCCACTTTTATATCTAGTTTATTACCTCAACATAAAATTTCATCATCTAGTGACTCCTTACTTTCAAATTTATCAACCTCTCCAACAACACCAGTACAATACAATGATGAATTTTTTGAAAACAATGAATATTTATCAACTATTTTAATTTATTTTATCAGTGATATAATAATTAATCAACCAATAACCTCACTAAAAGTAATAAATAAATCATTTACCAAATCATTTAATATTTCAGAGAAATTATTTCACAAATATTTTAAAAGATCATTAGATTTAACTAAAGTATTTATTAAATTATTTAAATATATTTTTAGCAGGGGATATAAATTTTCTAACTTTTTTTTATAAAATAGTATTACTTATTAGAACTAAATAAAAACAAAGAATACTACTTAAAATTAAATGATATTGACAATAAAGATTTTCAAGGCGATAAATTTTTAATGGAAAAAATTAAACAGTTTAATTTAAATAAAATTAATGAAATCGAAAAGAGAAATTTGGCAAATAAATATTTAAATTATTTAAACACTGTATCAGTAACCATATACAGAGGTCAAAAATTACAAGTTAAAGATTTGTTAACTTCAGACCCATTTGTCAATTTATTTTTTACCAATGAACAAGATGAAAAACCACACCATCATAGAGAATCTCTTATTACAGAAAACTTACTAGATAGCAGCAAACCACACCATCATCATTTTAAAACAACAACTAAAAAGAAGACTCTCGACCCAGAGTGGAATGAAAGTTTTATTTTTTCAAGTAATAAACCAGATCAAAATATATTGGTAGCAACTGTATACGATTTCGATAAAATTAGTAAAGCTGATTTTATGGGTTTCGCTAGTATCCATTTGGATGAGTTATATCCATCATTTACAGAAACTGTAACAAATTACAAACTTCAAGCCAAACCAAAAGGAAAGTTAACAGTATTCAAATCAATTTTAGGTATTGCTCCAAGTAAACAAGAGGCTGCTGCTGATAAAACCGATTATGGTTATCTTAAATTGGGTTTGGTCAATTTAAAGAGGGAAATTTATAAACTCGAAGAAATTTCAATAGAGAATAACAATGTTCCAGGTAAAGAAATTGATCGATTAATGAATATAAATCATGAAAAATGTATGGAATCATTATTTGACTTTTTCATAAACAAACAACAAATATTTACAACTCCCAAAGAAATCAAAAAGTTAATATCCAGTTATGAAAATAGAATTTTATTTTCACCATACTTAAAATTCATTGTGTAAGTATTTAATTTTTCATATTTTTTATATATTTCAATTATTTTTATATTTATTAATTATTATTTTAAATTTAAAAGAATATTAGAAAAACTTTTAGAAATCTTTGAAATTTCGACAATTTTAATGGATGAAATTTTATTAACCATCAAAGAGGTTATGAAAATGTTAGAAATGGATACAGCTCCAATGACCAAACCAATAGAAATCAAATTTAAAGCAATTTTAAAACAAATTAAAAAACTATATAAATCTTTATTATCAAAATACACACAATGCTTTCCAGTTACAATCAATAAAAAAACTAAACAACCAGAGAATTATGGTACAAGTGGTTCTCTATTAGCAATGACAATTGAAACCTTAGAGTCAATTTATCAATATGAACATAAAGATTTTGAACCAAAAATTATAAAGCAAGTTGAAAAGTATATTGAATTTTGTTGGTCAATAGTAAAAGAAGCCTCCTTAGTTAAAATTGAAGATTCAAAAGAGTTTGAAAACATTGTAGCACTATTGGATATTTATGACGCCATGGAATTGCAATTAACTTTAGATATTGAAATTTATTCACAATTTTTCCCATCTAAAATCGATCTCAGCTCCATTTCATTCAAAGGCTACTACAAATTATTAAAAGAATACACAGAATCAGTATTGTCAAGAGAGAATAAAGTTTGCATGGAAACTTTTACATTGTTAAAAAAGATTCAAAAGATTTCAAACACAATTTTAAAACCATACCTCAACAAAGATAATGAAATGAACCTAAATGTAATATTCAAGAAATTCCTTTCCATGTGGTGTGTAGAAATTAAAAAGCAATTTAATTTATGGGTATCTCGTAGTTTAGAAAAAGAGAATTGGGCAGCAGTCGATATTAAAAACAATTTATTACATTCTAACAGTTTAATCGATCTATTTACCATTTTTGAAATCGGTAAAAATCATTTATTAGGTCTAGATTTAAATATCGATCACTATATATTTGATTTTATCGAAATTGTTAATCAGCTTTACAACCAATATTTGGACATTGTAATGAATTCGATTCTTCAAGATATCATTAAAGATAAGTCTGTAAACTCATTTGATGAGATCAACGATCTATTAATAAATAATTTAAACAAATTACTAAGTTATTTAAAGCAACAAAAGGAACAATTAGCAGATGCCTCTGAGGAACATTTGTTGACCAGTAAATCAATAACAAACTCTGCAATCTGTATTAAATTAAACTCCATCGAGTTTTCAAGACAATTATTATTGGATTTTTCAAATGATTTAGAAGACAAGTTACCACATTTAAGAGATGTAATTCAAGAGTCTTTTTCAATTTCATTCCACAACTCTAAAAAGAAATATGATTATATTATTGATTTGGTTATCAATAATATAAATAAATGCATCAAAGTTTTATTAGAAAAAATTTTAGTACCAGCATCCAACAACAACAACAAACAACCAACAACAGCAAATAAAACATTAGAATTAATAGACGAATCAATTTCAAATCAAATGTTAGATTCTTTATTATTGCTTTTAAACAATGAATTGACAATTCTTAGTGGCAATCTATATTACCCAACCTTCAACAAATTCATAAAAGGTGTTTGGGAGTCAATTTGGAAGAGTATCGATAGAATTTTATTCCCAGAATTAAAATTACAAACAGAAAAATACTATTTATTGCACTATAAGAGTTTGGTTGTTGTATCAATTTACCCAGTATTAGAGAATTTCTTTTTTGCAAATGGTGAAGGTGTTCCAGTTGATCAATTAAGAAAACTTTCTCAATATCTTTTCTCGAGCGTTCAAGTTTATTTCACTGAACCAAAGAATATTTATGAAGTTTATAACTATTTAGAAAAGAACAATAATGATAAGTCATTAATTGACTATAACTTTATTTCAAGTAATTGCTTCCAATTAAAACAATTTAATCAATTTAAAGATTGGGATTTAGATTCATCAAAATCAATCGGAGAGTTTCATATTTTATCGTATATCTCATCAAGAAACCAAGATAGCAGCAATGAATTTACAGACAATGAATTAAAATTAAAATTCAAATCAATTATAACAACTATTACCAGTAAATTTAAAAACAGATTTGTTTTAGAAAAATTCCAATTAAAAAACCAGTCCATTTACCAATATAGCTTCACTTGTAAAACACTATTTGGAATACCAACTTTAGCTTATATTATGAATGATTGTATTTGTTGGAGCTCATTCCTCAGTTATAATGAAAAGAAGATAGTTATAAATTACTCTTCAATTAGATCGATTACAAGACAGCAGCACGATATTCAACATGATGATACTTTAATAATCATCTCTACAGACAGTGAAAAACATTATGAAATCTATTCATGCTCAAATAAATTTGATACTTTTAATAGTTTAAAAAATAATTTATTAAAGTTCAATTCAAATGTAAGTAAAAACTAGATAAAATATATTAAATAAATTATAATCTTATTAATAATTTATTCTTATTGTTTTATAGATTCATATTATCGATCATTTTAATGATACCATTGGTGATAATAGTAATTTTATAGTTCAGCCACGTAAAGATTCACTTTTAAACAAGAGTTTAAATCCAAATTCCTTAAATGCTACAATCAGTTGCAACGATCACAGTAATGAACATGTTTCACATGTTTCATATGATGATAATATAAAGTTCCATACACTGTTCCATTTAGACAAAGACAACATAATTTATGAAGTTTATAGTTGTTTTAAACATGGTATCAGTGGACGTATCATTACAACAAGAGATTACTTTTGTTATCATAATAATGTTACAGGTTCAAATCAACACTTTTTATGGTCAGATTTAGTTTCAATTAAAAAAGAATCATTCTTATTTACAAACGGCATCAGAATTATATTTAAAAATGGTCAAAATGTAAATATCTCTGTATATACAATAATTAAAAATAATTTCTTTTACTAACCAGCTTTATTATTATCTATAGAAATTCTTTACAGGTATAAATAATATTGAAATGTTATTAAATGAATTAATAGAATTAAAAGATTTAAACAGTAATGTCAATAGATCTCCTATTCTTCAAAGAAAAAAGAAAAATTAATAAAAATAAAATAAAATAAATAGATTTTTAATTATAACTATATATTAGAGTAACCTGACTTCATCCATAAACATATGATTTTCCCGTTGGTCCACATTCCAGTTTTTATGTCTTATTCAAAATTATATCTTTTTCTTCTTGTAACTTTGTTTAATGGAGGTTTCATGTTTTTCTTTTTATAAACAATGTTATTCCTATGCCATATGTTCCAAATTTTTATGTTGGTCGAAACCGAGAAAGTTTTCATATTAAAAAAAATATTAGGAATAAGAATCAACAAAGATAATAAAGAGATAAACGCTCAATAATAGTTTTATAAAGGTTTTTAATTTATATATTCAAATAGTCTTATTTTACAACATTTTAGGTATGAAGGTTTATATGTCTTATCTTTTAGTATTATATAATAGTTTCCGAAGATTATTACAACTTTAGAAATAAATATAAATAATTACAAATTTTTTTCATCTAAATCTTTAAAAGTTTTTATTATTAATATTTTGGAGATGAAAAAATAAAAAAAACTATGTTTTTAATAATAATGAACATTCTCTATTTAATAAAAAATTAAATATAATCTTTTAAAAAAAAAAATTTGTTGATTGATTTTTCTAATACTGTAATAATAATTAGTCATTAATGAGGATATTCTTCTTTTATTTTTAAAAAAAAAAGTAATTATAAGATTACAAAGTTTACACAGTTTATAAAAATAATTTTTAATATAGATAAAAATAAATTACCTTTTTGGTAAAATTAAAAAATCTATAAGATTTTAGTTTCTTCTTTTATAAATTAATAATTTTTTTTATAAATTTATTGATGTTTTTATTAATAATTATGTAAAATATTTTAAATTTTTTTTATAAATTAATTAAAAAATATTATTTTCAAACTTTGTTTTTCTTTATAAACTTTTTTTTTTTTTTATTATTATAGATTTTTATAAAAATAAATGGCAGATAAATTTCAATTAAGTGAACCATTCAATTATTTTAAGGACAAAGAGTTTTCAAATAATGATTTAATATCATTTTGGGATGAAATTGGAAAAAAATATATAAAATGGTAATTTATTAAATTTTTTTTTGTAAATAACAAAATTTCTTATTTATTGTTTTTTATTATTTTAGGGATAAAATGTATACTAAAGTGTATAGTGGTAATGAAAAAAAGCCACAATGGTATAATGGAGGCTTATTAAATTTATGCAATAATGTTTTGGATAAAAATTTAAAAGAAAATGGAAATAAAATTGCTTTTTATCATGAATGCCCAACCAAAAACTATTCAAATAAAGTTACTTATTTTGAATTATGGGAAAAAGTATGTGTATTTTCAAGAGTATTAAAGAATTTGAATATTAAAAAAGGAGATGTTGTTATGATTATGATGCCAAATCAAATTGAAACCATTGTAGCAATTTTATCTTGTGTAAGAATTGGAGCAATTTATTTTACATCTCCTCCTCATTTAAACTCAAAAATGATTGCAGATAAAATTGAATATATAAAACCAAAATTAATAATTTCTACAAATTATGCAGAAAGTGATTTAGATTACAATTATTTAATACCAGTTTTGAATGATGCAATTCTCATTTCAAATTTAAAAATTGAAAATATAATTATATATGATCGTATCGATTTTATTAATAAAGAGAAACAAGAATCATTTTTAGATAGACCTCAAAATAAAAAATTCAAAGGTATTCAAATTGAAAACTCTTTAGATTGGGACGAAATTTGTAAAAATGTAGAACCATTGGTAGAATATGAGCTTTTAGAATCGTCTAGCCCTGTCTGTATTACATTTTCAAGTGGTACTACTGGAGTATCCAAAGGTTTTATTACTGAAACAGGTTCCTTTATTGCACATTTAGGATATTCATATAAAAATAACTATGCTTTAAGAGAAGATGATATTTTACTTACCACCATTGGTCTTGGATGGGCATTTGGTCAAAACACAATATTTGGTTCATTAAATCATGGTTGTTCACTTGTTCTACATGAAGGTAATATGGGTATGGTTTCATTTGACTATTATAAACTAATTGAAAAATATAAAGTTTCAATGATTTTAGCAACCGCTTTACCTTTTAGATTACTTCAAAACATTGACCCAGAAGCTGAAGTTTCGAAACAATATAACTTATCAAGTTTAAGAGTAATTGTTTTAGGTGGTGAAATATTAGATTCTTCTATTTTAAAATATATTGAAAAAATTGGTGTTAGAGTAATGGATATGTATGGTCAAAGTGAATGTAATATTTTGTTGACTACACCATCTTTACAAATACCTAGCCGTACAAAATCAGCAGGAGTTCCTTCATCTGGACTTAATTTATATATTTTATCATTAGAAGATAAACAACCAATTACAAAACCATTTCAACTTGGTGAGATTGTAGTTAAACTTCCATTAACACCTTTTCATATTCAAGGATTATTATATGATGATGATCGAACATTGTTAAATGAAAAATATTTAAAAAAATATCCTGGGTATTTCAATACTGGTGATTTAGGTTACTTTGATAATGATGGATACTATTATGTTGTATCAAGAGCAGATGATGTTATAAATTCAGGTAATGGTTTAATTTACAATTCATTTTTTGAAGATGCTATACAACACAATGAAAAGGTATTTGATAATGTAGTTGTCCCAGTGACATCAGATGATCCATCAAAACAAGATGCAGTTGCATTTGTTATTTTAAATGATAAATTTAAAAAAGAATATGAAGAAAACCCAAAACAGTTTTTAAATACCCTCAAAAATGAAATCAATAATTCTTTTGTTTTTGATTCTGTAATTACTGCTCAAACAAATGCCTCAATTAAACACGTCGTTGTACTTTTTGATTTTCCCAAATCGACAAGTAACAAAAAAATCAGACACATATTAGCTAAAATCTTTGAAGGTATGTATATTACAATATTATAATTATTTTTTTCCCCTAATTTTAGATATTAATTATATAATTTTTTTAACTATAGAAAAGGAATATTCTATACCCTCATTAATGATGAACACTCATTTATTACCTCAATATGAAAACCAAATAAAATTCTATAAATCCCTCTAAAAATAAAATAAATAAAAAAGAGATATTTGTTCTTTAGTTATACTTTTACAACACCAGTACTATAAACAATATTACTTTTATTATATTATCAGGTCATGGTTTCAAATATATCACATATAATCAATTTTATATAAATGGAAATTGTTATATTAGTAGCATTGCAAAAGATGGTACCTCAACAATAGTTTTTGGCAATGATGATGGTCAGAGTATCAGGGTTACAGATAATTCCACTAATCTTTTCGAATCGATGAAAAATGGGGAATATTTTGAAATCTATACAGTGGTAAGTGATCAAAATCAAATCCTGTTACCTTTATTTATTTAAAAGAAGATCTGGAAATAAACACCATATTATTTCAGAGGAAAGATTGGATATACAAGGTATCTTTTTTCAACTTTTTTATAAAAAAAAATTATTCGTTTTTATACATTTTATAAAATTTACCAATAGATAAAAAATAACAGTACAAACACATCATTATTTGTTTCGTTTCCTCCCTTTTTTTAATATTTATAACCATTAATGGATATAATCTCCCAGGTGATACAAAAACGATAATTTTAGAACTCTAACTATATATATACACAAATTTTTTTTTATTTATACATTTTTTTTATAAATAACTAATGTTATTATTATTTTTGTTGTCATTGCTATCATTGTCATTGTTTTGTTGAGGATTGGTATAGAATGATTCAGCATCAGATGGAGATAATAAATCTTGAATAGATGGTCTTTTAATATCATCTGCATAATAGCTAGTATTATTTATATATATTTGTGTTCGTCCTTGATAGATTTGTGTGGGTTGTTCTTGTTCAAGTTTTTGTTGTTTTTGTTGTTGTGGGGATGGTGTAATATATTGTGGTACTTGAGATTGATCGTTACTAATATCAATGGTTTCAATAGTTGATAATGAGCTGCTTGGTAAACTATTATAATAAGATACCTGTTTGTCAATATATACTGGTTTAATATATCTTAAATATTTAAAATCTCTAAAAATATCTTGGCTGTAAATATTTGGTGGTGAAACATATTCTCTTGACATTGATGTAGATGGAATGGTATTGTTTAATTGAACTGTATTTGAAAAATAGATATCAAGTTGTTTGATCAACTCTGATTTATAACAATAGGTTGGATGAAATGTTAAATTTGTATATGTTTGATTAATTACTGATATATATCTTTCAGTTTCTCTTTTGAACTTTATAATGAAAAAAATTTTATATTAATAAACTATATATAATGAAAAATAAAAAAGATATTATAATAATAAGCTATTCTTACAATTCTTTTGGATCTTAAAAATGAATAAATATGAATAACTACTACAATGATTAAAGCGGGTATTAAGGCAAAACCAGCAAGTGATACTGAAATATTTATAAAAACAATAAAACCAAGAATAACCAAACAAACAATTGAACTGGTAATATAATACAAAAATGGTACTCTAACACCTGATTTGTAAAAGTTAATCTGGTTTATTATTTCACAATAATCATTTGGTGATATGAATGGTTGTATCTGTATTGGAATAGCTGAGCAGAAATCACCACTGATTGGATCTCTTGGTATCATAATTTTATTCCCATGATTATTATAGTTAATAGTAGGGTTATTATTATATCTGTTTTTATTAGCTCCTATAATAGGAATTCCAGTAGAGGTTGTAGATGTAATTGAAGTTGGTGGAGGTGGAGGTGTTGAAATATTATTATGATTATAATAACTATTATTATTATTATTATTATTGTTGTTATTAATTAAATTTTGTTGTTCATCATTATTAAAATATATTGGTTGTTGTTGTTGGTGCTCTTGACCCATTTTGAATAAATACAAAATATAAATTTTAATATAACCAAGTTAAAAAAAAAAAGAGAAATAAAAAATTAAAAAAATTAAAATTTTTTTTTTTAATTTTTATTTTTTATTTTTTTTTATTTTTTTTTATTTTTTTTTATTTTTTTTTTTTTTCTTTTTCCAAATATTTCAAAAAAGATATTTTTTATTATAATGGTGCTAAGAAAATTCACATCCTGGTTAAAGAATGATCGCATGTGAATGAGCAAAATTTAATATAATATTTGGTAATACTTTAATTAAAATTTAACTGTTTGTTACTGAAATTTTTTTTTTTAATAATTAGGAACTGTGTTTTTAATGTAAATTTCAAAAAAAATCAATTTTTAAGAATGCTTCAGAAAAAAATAGGTCCTGTTCAAAAAGATATTAAAATGAAAGCATACCACAGCATGCTCCAATCACAGTAAACAAAATTGGAAAAATAACAAAGAAACATTAGCAATTCCTAATCCAACAACTTCTACCATACCAAAAAAGAAAATTTAAATAGATCTTTGGAAAAAATGAGAAAGATATTGAAATTTTCCTAATCTATCAATAATGCCAATTCCATTTTCTTTACCACTATGCATATTATTTCTAAATTATTTTGTAGGCGCACTGCTTGTTGATTTAGATTACAATAAATAGTAAAACGGGTTGAAACTTTGAACCATTTTTATCAAACCAGTGACCACTTGCTAACCTTTCTTCTAATAGTAAGAGATGGATGGTATTTATTAGTTTTAAAAAAACATTCATGCAAATATATTTGAAAATTGTAGTTGCTTGTGGCAATTTTATACCAAATAAATACTATAGAAATTCAAAACTAAAATTTGATTTTAGTTTTATCAGTGCTCGAGCCAAACGATTTTTATTTCCTCGTTGTTCACTAATAAAATTACCTTTGACATTTTTCTTTTTTTAATTTTTAATTTACTAAACAAGGAAGACATGACAATAATGAACAAATTAACCCGACCAAGAAAATACTTAATTTTAAAAAATAAAAATAAAAATAAAAATAAAAATAAAAATTAAAATAAAAATAAAAATAAAATAAAAAAAAAAATTAAATTAAATCAAAATTAATTTAATTTAAGTTTGAATTTTTATTTTTTTTTAAATTTTTTATTGAACTTTTTTTTTTTTTCTCTTTTTTTAATTTTTTTTTATCAAAAAAAAAAACAAATCATAAATATATACAAATAAATGTAAGTTTAATTTTTTTTTAAAAAATTAAAAATTTAATTCTAATATTTTTTGCATATATTTAAAGATGTCACAAACAACCCCAGAAGAACAAAATTATGATGTTTACTTGATATACCCAAAAGAATCCCAAAATTATTTCATAATCTGGTTTGATGGTGACAAAGTATATTGGAAATTTGTTTCAAGCTATTTAAGTCCCCAAACTACACTTTTTCATAATTGTGGTTCTATTGTTCAATTCGGTAATGATGATGATTTGTATTATATTACAATCTGTATAGATGGTAAAAACACAACAGGAATTAGAATTTTAAAAGAAAAATTCACCTCATTAGATGGTTTCCATGTACACAATCGTTTAACTGAACCAAATATCATTTTACCTTCAAAAATCAAAACCACCTTGTATTTAACCAAAGTTGAAGTTAAAAAAGTTTAAATCAAAAATAAATAATGTATTAAATAAAATAATATAATCTTAATAATTGTATTTGTGTTTTTATATTTTTAATTTTTTTATTATGTGACAATATTATCCACATTCTGCAACTGTTTATTTTTATATATGTTGCGCAATACACCAAGGTTTATATTTATTTTGCACAAATCATCCAATTTTTTTTTTTTTTCAAAATTTATTCGATCTGTTTTAATGAATTCCTCCAAAACTCAAAAAAAAAAAAACTAAAAAAAAAAAAAAAAAAACTTAAAAACTTTTAATTTTAGAATACATTTTGAATTTTATTTTGTTGTTTAATATCTTATTTTTATCACCTACTTCAATAACACAATATCATTTTACAAACACCTGAAAGAAAGCCAATCTGCAATACCTTTCCACTTTTTGGAAAACAATAAACCAATAAGGTTAAAGCTAATAATAATTAAAAAATTTTTCCCTTATTGATAAAAATTAAGGGAAAATTTTTTTATTTTTTTTTTAAAAAATTTAAAATTTAATTTTCTCCAAATTTTTAAAATTACTATTATAATTGATTGATTAAATGACCATTTAAGTTATTATTAATTAAGTGAATTTTGAAGATAGTACATTACAAAAATTAGTTTTTATTTACAAAATTTTTAAGTCTTCCACTCCAAAAAGAATAAACGATAATTTTTAATCACCAGTTTTTATTTACAAAATTTTTAAAAAGTAAAGTTTGATGTCGATAATATTTGGGTTTCTGCATCTGAAGGAGTTAATAATTGTTCAATAGTAGGTCTTGTTGTTGTATTACTTATTAAATCATTTGGATTGATTTGATAGTTATTATTATTATTATTATTATTATTATTATTATTATTATTATTATAATTATTATCAATATCAATATATAAACTATTATTATAACTATTAATATTGTTATTGTTATTTTTATTATTATTTAATGGGGTTGAGCTATTGTAATATATGGTTAAGGATGGTGATATAACTTTAGGATTAATATCATATGTTAAATAATTGAAACCACAGAAAAGCTCTTGACAGTATATACTTGGTGGTGCAACTTGTGAGATAAATGTTGATGTTAATGTTGGTGTTATTAATGTACTATTTCTAAAAGTAATTTGAACTGCTTTAATGGAGTTGAGGAAGCCATTTTTTTGAAAAAAAACTGTAAATGTTAAATTTGCATATAATCTATGAAGAGTTTCGAAATATAAAGAAACTTCTAAATTATACTATTAAAAAAAAAAAAAGATTAGTTTAAAAATTAATTATTGGAATGTAATTAAATATTATTATATACATACTCTATTGTAAACTCTTTTGATATTAAAAATATGAAGAAGTGCCATTAAAGCAATTGTAATTGGGAAAAAAATAACCATAAATGATGAGGAAGATTTAAAAAAAATTATAGAGAAAATTAATAAACCAACTAATATAAAACCAACTCCATGATAATATACTGAAAATGGTGATCCCCTCTTGTAATGGTTTATCTGCTTTACAATCTCCCTGTAATCGTGAGAGCTTATATATGGAAATAGTTCATATGGAAGATTTGAATTAAACTCTTCTGAATCTTTATCTATTTGAATTTGAATTTTTTTATTTATATTATTATGTTGATTATTTAATAAACTTTCTTCAAATTGTCCCATTATTCTTTTTTTATATCTATATTTAAATTTTATTTTATTTTATTTTATTTAATTTATTTATTTATTTATTTATTTATTTATTTATTTATTTATTTATTTATTTATTATTTATATATGTTTTTTTGTTTATAATTATTTATTTATATGTTTATACTTATATCGATCAATGTTTTATAATTTTATTTTAATTTTAAATTTATAATGGTATAAAAACCAAAATTAATTTTTTTTTATTACATTTTTAAGCTATCTCTAATTTTCAAAAATTTTAAATTTTTTTTTAATATTTTTTTTTTACTGGGCAATTCCGAATTTTTAATATTAATATTTATTTTAATTTTAACTTTAATTTAAAATATTTTTAAACTATTAAAAATCATAATGATTATTTCGTCATACCTATTAAATCAAAAATTTTATTAAAATTAATTTTCCTTTTTTTTTAAAATTTATAAGGCAATTTAGAGTTTGCCCAGCCACAAAAAAAAATGAAAATTAGAATTCTCAATAGTATATAGAAAAATTAAAATCAATATAACCATAAAAATATTAATAATGATAATAACAATAAAAAAATAATAGTAACAAATAATAGTATTAAAAAAAAAAAGTTTTTATATAAAATTACATCTTTATTGTTATTATTTTTACATTGACTTTAAAAGGTTAAATATTTTGAAGTTTATTTATGAAACCCAAAAATTTATTATTATATTGGTCTTTATTTAATCTTTTATGATTAACATGAGCTGATTTATCAAAACAAATTGAATCTATTAATTTTTCATTTTTGATATTATTTTTTAATTTATTTATAGTTGAATTTACATGTTCATAGTTTATAATTTCATCATTCTTGCTATATATAAATAAATGATTCCATTTGTTCTTTTTTTTTTTTTTTAAATTAGTATTATAAATTAAATAAAAAATAATAATAATTGTATTAAAAATACATACTTTGGGACTATAAATTATTTTAAAATATTTGAAAAAATCTCTTGATAACATAAAGTTGATTACTGGATAAAGTTTCATTAATAATTGTTTTATAAAATCATTTGGAGCTGCAAGTGACAATGCTTGCTTAACACCAGTAGTATCAGTGGAAGGATTCGAATCTAAAAGTGTACCTTTTATAAATTTATGCAAATGCTTATATTTTTCATCAGTTTCTATGAAATGTAAAGTTCTTGAATAATAAAGTGCACCCCCATTAGATAAAACTAAAATTAATTTATCAGTAATTATAATTCAATTTTTTTTTTTTTTTTTTAAAAAATAATTTATATTTACCATGAAATATTAAACTGTCAATTTTTGGATCATCTTTAACAATTTCATTGATTTTATCTAATATAATTAATGATTTAGGAGTCATGATTGGTGGTATCACTACATCTATTAGTGGATAGTAGTTTGTTAAAGTGTTGTATCCTTGGTTTGCCCAATCTTGAGTATACTTATTTACATCTTTTTCTTTACCTTCTAGCCACCCTAATACTACAACTAAAGATTTTTCATTTTTGTTTAAAATTTGATTGTTTGATTGTTGTTGTGAAACTAATGGTGTAGCTTTAACGAAATTTAATTTGGTTTGGTTTTTAAGTAATTGCTTTAAAAAAATCATATTTTACATTTATTTAAATAAATAGAAAAAAAAAAAAAAAAAATTATTTTAAAAAAAAGGTAATATTTTTTTCGTTATTTCTGATTCTTTTAAAAAAAATTTTTTTTTATTAATTTTTTAATTTTTTTTTTTATTTTTTTTTTTTTTATTTTATTTTATTTCTTTTTTTTATATTCACAAAAGCCCTCTAAAATAAAAAATGAAATTTAGTATTTAAACATTTATATAAATTGGTTTTATTTTATATTAAGTTGAAAAACTTTAGCATATTCACCCACTTCCACGCCCTCAGGATTGATGTTATGAAAAACGTTAATTCAACATTGGATCAGGTTTTTATTTGGGATATTAAACATTCGAAATGATACTGGTTCTTTGACAATAGCCCATAGATTCTCGATTATATTAATATCGGGCACCTGTAGCTTATATGCATTGTAAATTACAATACTCTCATCCCCATTTACATCCACACCAAATGCTTTAACAAACTCCAGGTTCAAATTATGATCAAAAAACCCCATATACCTCTAGAACAACAACTACCACAACCTCAATTGAAAGACCACCATTACAACAACAATTCTCTAGTAACTCAATAATTGAAACCCCAAATTATAATGAGACAAAGATTAAAACAACAATAACAGGTTCAGCAATATCAAACACCAAATAACATTTCTTTAACCCCTTCTGGAGATTTTAATTATAATGATAAATTTGATTTAGCAATTAATACAATCATAAAAATTCAAAAGATTCAATCCCAACAAATGAAGTACTTCAAAAGAATCAAAATGAAATTTTACAAAAACTATTATTCCAACAACAACAACAAAATACAGAATTTGATAGTTTAAAAAACCAACAAGAACAAATTCAAAATATTGTTTCACAATACCACCCACTAAGTCCCTCAAAAGCAAATCTTTTAAATAAAATTCAAGAAAATGAAAACCAATCGACTGGTGGTGCTTCTGATTAATTAATAAAATTTAAGATAGTTTCATAAAAAAAACTTTTTTATATTATTATATATTATATAAAATTTATTTATTTTATTCTCTTTCTGTTTTTTGATTACATTTATAATACATTTTCCATTCTCAAAGAATCGTTAAATTCAAGATTTTGTATGATTTTCTTTACAAAGTATAAAAGAGTAGACAAACAATAATCATTTTTTCTTCAATAAATAAAAAATATTACTAAATTATATCTTGAAGAGCTATTTTTAATAAAAAGGAAAACTGTAAAAAATAAACATATTATTTATAAAAAAAAAAATTTTATTATATTTTAAATTAAAAAAAATTTAAAAAAAAAAATTTCTATTTTCTATTTCACCCGCATCATTTTTATAAGTTGTATTTTAATACAACAATATATTTTTACAAAACAAATAATAATAAACCAAAAAAGAATAGAAAATAGAACTATTTAGTGATTTAAAAACCATTGTTAAAAATAATTATTATATAAATTAGAACATATGAAGAAGTAGAACTGTTCAATAAATCCCAATGCATAATCAAAAGGAACTATCAATGTAATTATTTAGATATGGAAATAAGAGATAATAAAATGGAAAAGATATATTCACAAAATCTTTTTTAATAAATAAAAAATAAACAAATGTAGAACATTTATTTATAATTATATTAACTCTTTTATTTATTTATCTATAAAATCTAAAATTTCATTTTTTCTCATGTATTATAGTTTATTTTTGTAAATATATAATTTTTTATTTTTATTTAATGATTTATAGTTTTGTAGAGAATTATTATTTGTGTATTAAAGCCTGAAAGTGTAGTATAAATACCCCATTAGTTTTGAACATATAAAATTGGTCACCTCACGCCTATAAGTGCGCTTTTATACAAAAGTTTGGCGATTAGTATTAAAGAGTTTGACCGTTTTGTATTAATTGCTAGCCACAACATCCAAGCTCTTAGCATTTAGTTTGCACTAAGGTTAACACGACTTTTATTAATTTATTTTTAGAAAAATTTTTTAGTAATTTAATTTTGATTATTTAATTTTAGTTGTTAAATTTTTGTTGAATAATTTTTGTTATTTAATTTTTATTTGTAATTCATCGATAAAGTTCTGTAGCTTTCCAGGTGTATCGGTATTTTCACTCTAAATAAAGAGTTTGACCGAGAGGGCAGCTTAAATAAAAAGTGTAGTATAACTGCCCCCCCGTCCGACCATATATATACTGTTATGATATCGCTATGACCCTAGACTTATTAAGAGTCACTAACTGCTGTTTACTAACTACTGTTTAGTAACTACCAATTCCAGTATTTTCAACTAACTTAAGAATTAGCTTCTAGAACCAATCTCATTCAGTATAAATACCTCAAGTCCTCAGTCTAAAACTTCAGAGGTTTTTTATTCTATATTATTCTATAAACTACAAATTTCATTACACATATAATATTTGTTTATTTGTGTTTATTTGTTATACTTATTTTACATATATATACTTAATCATTTGTAAGCTGTATAGAGCTTCATTACAAAATATTCAATAATGACTCTTTAGCTTTTTTTTTTGCTTTTTAAAAATATATTGGAATGTTTATTCTGTAATGAAAAGGTATATGATTATGACTAAGTTACACAACTAAAATACTTAACGAAAATATAATAAACTCTAAAATAAACACTTATGGAGACGCAATAAAATATATTAACACAAACTAAATAATAAACACTAAAACACTTAAATTACTTAAAAACACTTAAAACAATTATGAGAACACTGAAATATACTTTATTTATTATTTATCTTTATTACTTGTTTAAACATATATATATATAACTAACTAAAATAAACTAACTAAGAAACTCTAAAGTTTTAGACTGAGGACCTGATGTATTTATACTGAATGAGATTAGTTCTAGAAGCTAATTCTTAAGTAGTTGAAATACTGGCATTGGTAGTTATTATTAAAAAGCAGTTACAAAATACTGGAATTTGGCAGTTATTAAAAAGCAGTTATAAAATACATTTTTACTTAAAGATATAGACTGTCGATTCATTACAATTCCATTTTATTATAATGACTCTTTAGCATAGTGGTTATTGTACTCGTCTCCAATGTGAGAAAACAGCAGAAAGCGGGGGGTCGGGCGTTCAACTCGCCCAAGGGTCAATCTTTTAGAAGAATATATCTTCCTTGTGATTTTATCTTCCTGGTTAATTGTTTAAAAGTTTGCAATTGTGTAATGTATTCATATGCATTTTAGAATTAAATGAATATTACAGTTATAATTATATCTCAACTAAATAATATATTTATATTTTCCATTATTATAAATAATTTATTATTTAAAATTAAAAATAAAATAAAAATAAAAAATTGAAAAATTTAAATTTTATTTTTTAGTTTTCAGTTTTCGATTTTAGTTTTCACAAACTAATAATTGTATATTAATTTGATTATTAGAATTATTTAATATTTATCTGTAATAAAAAAAAAACAATTTTTTTAATAATAATGAACATTCCCCTTTTTTTAAAAAAATCTTATTTTAAATTTAAAAAAAAATTTTGTTGGTTGATTTTTCAAATACTGTAATAATAATTAGTCATTAATGAGGATATTCCTCTTTTAATTTTAAAAAAAAAGTAACTTTCTTTTTTAAATAAAAGATTTTTTTTTTACAAATTTAACACAGTTTTTTTATCTGTAAAAATATTTTTTTTAATAATAGAGATAGATAAAAATAAATTACCTTTTTGATAAAATTAAAAAATCTATAAGATTATAGTATCTTCTTTATAAAAATTAATAATTTTAGGTAAATTTTTTTTTATAATTTATTAATGTTTTTATTAATTAATTCTGTAATAATTCAATAAAATATTTTTTTTTATAAATTAATTAAAAAATATTTTTTACAAACTTAGTTTTTCTTCCTATAAACTTTTTTTTTTTTTAATATTATTTTAGTTTTTTATAAAAATAAATGGCAGATAAATTTCAACTAAGTGAACCATTCAATTATTTTATGGACAAAGAGTTTTCAAATAATGATTTAATATCATTTTGGGATGAAATTGGAAAAAAATATATAAAATGGTAATATATTAAATTTTTTTTTGAAAAAAATAAAATTTTTAATTTATTGTTTTTTATTATTTTAGGGATAAAATGTATACTAAGGTGTATAGTGGAAATGAAAAAAAGCCACAATGGTATAATGGAGGCTTATTAAATTTATGCAATAATGTTTTGGATAAAAATTTAAAAGAAAATGGAAATAAAATTGCTTTTTATCATGAATGCCCATCCAAAAACTATTCAAATAAAGTTATTTATTTCGAATTATGGGAAAAAGTATGTGTATTTTCAAGAGTATTAAAGAATTTGAATATAAAAAAAGGAGATGTTGTTATGATTTTGATGCCAAATCAAATTGAAACCATTGTAGCAATTTTATCTTGTGTAAGAATTGGAGCAATTTTTTGTACATGTCCTCTTATTTTAAACTCAAAAATGATTGCAGATAAAATTGAATATATAAAACCAAAATTAATAATTTCTACAAATTATGCAGTAAGTGGTTCAGATTACAATTATTTAATACCAGTTTTGAATGATGCAATTCTCATTTCAAATTTAAAAATTGAAAATATAATTATATATGATCGTATCGATTTTATTAATAAAGAAAAACAAGAATCATTTTTAGATAGACCTCAAAATTATAAATTCAAAGGTATTCAAATTGAAAACGCTTTAGATTGGGATGAAATTTGTAAAAATGTAGAACCATTGGTAGAATATGAACTTTTAGAATCATCTAGCCCTGTTTGTATTACATTTTCAAGTGGTACCACTGGAGTATCCAAAGGTTTTATTACTGAAACAGGTTCCTTTATTGCACATTTAGGATATTCATATAAAAATAACTATGGTTTTAGAGAAGATGATATTTTACTTACCACCATTGGTCTTGGATGGGCATTTGGTCAAAATTTAATATTTAGTTCTTTAAATCATGGTTGTTCACTTGTTTTATATGAAGGTAATATGGGTATGGTTTCATTTGACTATTATAAACTAATTGAAAAATATAAAGTTTCAATGATTTTATCTACCGCTTTACCTTTTAGATTACTTCAAAACAATGACCCAGAAGCTGAAGTTTCGAAACAATATAACTTATCAAGTTTAAGAGTAATTGTTTTAGGTGGTGAAATATTAGATTCTTCTATTTTAAAATATATTGAAAAAATTGGTGTTAAAGTAATGGATATGTATGGTCAAAGTGAATGTAATAATTTATTAACTACACCATCTTTACAACTACCCACCCGTCCAAAATCAGCAGGTGTTCCTTCATCTGGACTTAATTTATATATTTTATCATTAGAAGATAAACAACCAATTACAAAACCATTTCAATTTGGTGAGTTTGTAGTTAAACTGCCATTAACACCTTTTCATATTCAAGGATTATTATATGATGATGAAGATCGAACATTGTTAAATGAAAAATATTTAAAAAAATATCCAGGGTATTTCAATACTGGTGATTTAGGTTACTTTGATAATGATGGATACTATTATGTTGTATCAAGAGCAGATGATGTTATAAATTCAGGTAATGGTTTAATTTACAATTCATTTTTTGAAGATGCTATACAACACAGTGAAAAGGTATTTGATAATGTTGTTGTCCCAGTGACATCAGATGATCCATCAAAACAAGATGCAGTTGCATTTATTATTTTAAATGATAAATTTAAAAATGAATATGATGAAAACCCAAAACAGTTTTTAAATACCCTCAAAAATGAAATCAATAATTCTTTTGTTTTCGATTCTGTAATTACTGCTGAGATCAATGTCTCAATTAAACACCTCGTTGTACTCTTTGATATTCCCAAATCGACAAGTAACAAGAAAATAAGATCTATATTAGCTAAAATGTTTGAAGGTATGTATATTACAATATTTATAATTATTTTTCCCCCAATTTTAAAAATTAATTATTTTAATTTTTTATAAAAAAACAGAAAAGGAATATGCTATACCTTCATCAATGATAAACATTCATTTATTACCTCAATATGAAAACCAAATAAAATTCTATAAATCACTCTAAAATAAAAAAATGTAAAAAAAGATATTTAAAAAAATAATTTCTGTTACTATAAATGGTCAAATAACTATTTATTTTGTTTATTTTTTAATGTTTTTAATAATCAGTTTTTATATCTTAATAATAAACCATAATTTTAAATCACACCTATAGCTTCATTTGTTTTTATTTCGATGTGCCAAAAAGAAAAAAACACATTATTATTAAATGGAGATTCTCCAAAAATAAAAAAATCAAATTGTTGGTTCAAATACTGAAATAATAATTAGTCATTAATGAGGATATTCCTCTTTAATTAAAAAAAATGTAATTTTGTTTTTTATAATTTAAACAAATTGTATTTAAAAATATTTTTTAAAAATAAAGAAAGATAAAAATAAATTTCCTTTTTAATCTTCAAGATAATTGTTTTTCTTAATAAAAATTAATAATTTTGGGGTAACTTTTTTTAGATTTATTGATATTTTTATTAATTAATTCTGTAATAATTATTAAATTTTTTAATAAAATTTTATTTACAATTTTAGTTTTTCTTTAAAAACTTTTTTTTTTTTAATAATTTCATTTATTATAAAAACAAATGGCAGATAAATTTCAATTAAGCGAACCATTCAATTATTTTATGGACAAAGAGTTTTCAAATAATGATTTAATATCATTTTGGGATGAAATTGGAAAAAAATATATAAAATGGTATTTTAAATTGAATTATTTTTTTGTAAAAAATAAAATTTCTAATTTATTGTTTTTTATAATTTAAGGGATAAAATGTATACTAAGGTGTATAGTGGAAATGAAAAAAAGCCACAATGGTATAATGGAGGCTTAGTAAATTTATGCAATAATGTTTTGGATAAAAATTTAAAAGAAAATGGAAATAAAATTGCTTTTTATCATGATTGCCCATCCAAAAACTATTCAAATAAAGTTACTTATTTTGAATTATGGGAAAAAGTATGTGTATTTTCAAGAGTATTAAAGAATTTGAATATAAAAAAAGGAGATGTTGTTATGATTTTGATGCCAAATCAAATTGAAACCATTGTAGCAATGTTATCTTGTGTAAGAATTGGAGCAATTTATTGTACATGTCCTCTTATTTTAAACTCAAAAATGATTGCAGATAAAATTGAATATATAAAACCAAAATTAATAATTTCTACAAATTATGCAGTAAGTGGTTCAGATTACAATTATTTAATACCAGTTTTAAATGATGCAATTCTCTTATCAAATTTAAAAATTGAAAATATAATTATATATGATCGTATCGATTTTATTAATAAAGAAAAACAAGAATCATTTTTAGATAGACCTCAAAATAAAAAATTCAAAGGTATTCAAATTGAAAACGCTTTAGATTGGGATGAAATTTGTAAAAATGTAGAACCATTGGTAGAATATGAACTTTTAGAATCATCTAGCCCTGTTTGTATTACATTTTCAAGTGGTACCACTGGAGTATCCAAAGGTTTTATTACTGAAACAGGCTCCTTTATTGCACATTTAGGATATTCATATAAAAATAACTATGGTTTTAGAGAAGATGATATTTTACTTACCACCATTGGTCTTGGATGGGCATTTGGTCAAAACACAATATTTGGTTCTTTAATACATGGTTGCTCACTTGTTTTATATGAAGGTAATATGGGTATGGTTTCATTTGACTATTATAAACTAATTGAAAAATATAAAGTCTCAATGATTTTATCTACATCTTTACCTTTTAGATTACTTCAAAACATTGACCCAGAAGCTGAAGTTTCGAAACAATATAACTTATCAAGTTTAAGAGTAATTGTTTTAGGTGGTGAAATATTAGACTCATCAATTTTAAAATATATTGAAAAAATTGGTGTTAGGGTAATTGATATATATGGTCAAAGTGAGTGTATTATTTTGTTAACCACACCATCTTTACAACTACCTAGCCGTCCAAAATCAGCAGGTGTTCCTACATCTGGACTTAATTTATATATTTTATCATTAGAAGATAAACAACCAATTACAAAACCATTTCAATTTGGTGAGATTGTAGTTAAACTGCCATTAACACCTTTTCATATTCAAGAATTATTATATGATGATGAAGATCGAACATTGTTAAATGAAAAATATTTAAAAAAATATCCAGGGTATTTCAATACTGGTGATTTAGGTTACTTTGATAATGATGGATACTATTATGTTGTATCAAGAGCAGATGATGTTATAAACTCAGGTAATGGTTTAATTTACAATTCATTTTTTGAAGATGCTATACAACACAATGAAAAGGTATTTGATAATGTTGTTGTCCCAGTGACATCAGATGATCCATCAAAACAAGATGCAGTTGCATTTATTATTTTAAATGATAAATTTAAAAATGAATATGATGAAAACCCAAAACAGTTTTTAAATACCCTCAAAAATGAAATCAATAATTCAATAGTTTTTGATTCCGTAATTACTGTTGAAAAGAATGCTTCAATTAAACACGTCGTTGTACTTTTTGATATTCCCAAATCAGTTAGTAACAAAAAAATCAGACCTTTATTAGCTAAAATGTTTGAAGGTATGTATATTATAATATTTATAATTATTTTTCCCCCAATTTTAAAAATTAATTATTTTAATTTTTTATAAAAAAACAGAAAAGGAATATGCTATACCTTCATCAATGATGAACACTCATTTATTACCTCAATATGAAAACCAAATAAAATTCTATAAATCACTCTAAAATAAATAAAAAATAAAAAATTGGATATTAAAAAAAAATTTCTGTTGCTATAAATGGTCAAATAACTATTTATATAGTTTATTATTTATTTTATGCAAACCAAATTATTTATTTTATATCTAAAAAATAAATCAAAATATAAAAGTAATTTCTTGATACACATATTTTTTTAAAAAAAAAAAAAAATAGTTTTTTAGATAAGAAAATTAATTTTTTTTTTTCAATTTTAAAATCTAAAATAGAAAAAACTAGTATTTTTTTCTTTTTTTTTTACTATTAATAAGTATGAAAGAAGATTGAATTTTTAAATTTTTTTTTTAATATTAAATTTTTTTTTAAATGAGATTCACAATTTTTTATGTTTATAAGGTGTAGCGTGGTGTTACCAAAAAAAATTAATATATATTTAGAATAATCAATGTGACCATTTAAATTTCCACAATGCTGAACATTAGTTTTTAATTTGAGGTTTAAATAAAATAAAAGAGTGCAAAAACTTTTTAAAAAGGAATTATTAAATTAAAAATAAAATAAAAAAAAAATAACTTAAAAAAGTTTTTTTAAAATTAATTTTTTCTCTGTTTTTTTTAAAAAAAGTAAAAATAGGTGCGAAGTGGGGGGTTTGGGTATAACTATTTTTTTTATTTATTTTTTTAAGCATGCTATGACTAAATAGAATCCCTATTTTAAATCACCAACACGTATAGCTTCAAAAGTTATTATTTAGATGTACAAAAAAGAAAAAACATTATTTTTAATAATAATGAACATTCTCCTTGTAATTATAGATTAAAGATCTTTTTTTAAAAAAAAAACATATTGTTGTGATTTTTCAAATACTGTTATAATAATTAGTCACTAATGAGAAAATATTGCTCTTTCTATTTTAAAAAAATAACTTTGTGATAAAATTAAAAAATCTAAAAGATTTTAGTTTTTTCTTAATAAAAATTAATAATTTTGGGGTAATTTTTTTTTAAATTTATTGATGTTTTTATTAATTAATTCTGTAATAATTATGTATTATATTTTTTTAAATTAATTATAAAATATTTTACAAACTTAGTTTTTCTTTATAAACTTTTTTTTTTAATATTATTTTTATTTATAATAAAAATAAATGGCATATAAATATCAATTAAGCAAACCATTCAACTATTTTAAGGACAAAGAGTTTTCAAATAATGATTTAATATCATTTTGGGATGAAATTGGAAAAAAATATATAAAATGGTATTTTAAATTGAATTATTTTTTTGTAAAAAATAAAATTTCTAATTTTTTTTTTTTTATAATTCAGGGATAAAA